TTACGTTTTTCTTCGTCTGTTACGCATGACATAATAATACTAAAAACAACAAAAAAAAAACGAACTTAGATTTTATTTATTTTGATATTCACAAGAGGTGCGCTCTCGGAAATCACCTGAGAAATATTATAAATATAGTCACATGATGAATCAGTTGATACTAACAAATCGATTGTAAAACTCATTATACATTCTTCAATTAGTGTTAATTTGCAAGTAATATCAAGTACATTGGGAAACCTTGATGAAGAACAATTTTTTGAATGACATACTTTTTTAGTTCGAAAAAACAAAGAAATATTTAAATATCCAAATTATTATATCGATTATTAGTTCAAATAATTATAGCTTTAGAACAGTTGTTATTCTTGATGATCGTCGAAGAATTGAAATGAATGAAAAAAAGAGGATATTTCTATTTTAATTTGTTAGAATGTTGTTTGTAGTATTTTTAAGTAATTAATATTGATGGCAAGAAGTTGAATGTGGATGGTTCATATAAAGATAGAGACAATATCAATTTTTAGCTGCATTTCAATTTAAAATATAGTCAATGTCCCTAAGCCAAATGACCTTCATATAGATGCACTTTGTGATTCATATTTTCGTCGTTTATATCCTAAAGCTTTTATTTTTATATGACAATGAAGACCTTGACAATTTGCATAATATCATAAAAAGAAATAATTCGTAGCTACTAAAATAATTCAGTAGTAGCACGTAAAACATTAAGAAAACTTTTTTAAAAAACGTTCGTTCTAAGTACATTTCCTTAAACTGGAGTTCTAGCAAAAGATGTCCTGCAAGAGAACATATCAGTAGAGAACAAGCAAAAACGTGAATGAGTACAAAGTTTACTAATTTGTGCATCAAGATTTCTACGGACTACTTTATTATTATGATCATTGAATTACTCATATTAAATTTTGTCATATTATATTAGTCAAGCTGGATCAATACTAATTTCAACTTTTAATCAGATATAAAAGAAATATTTTCTGTGTTCGCTTTATGTTCAATACTAGTAAAGCGAATACGATAATCATTTTGATTGAAGATCAAGGATCATTTAGTTTTGCACTTACTTTTCGCTTAACGATATTAAAATTCATACAAATTTTTGCTAACTGATATCTTCAGTAACTATTGTGAATATTAATCACATTCTAGAAGTTTAATTGAAATAGATGAAAAATAAAATCGGAGAGATACTTTTTTTTTGATTATTCACTTTGTAAGAGAAACTGTTGAAAACTTCAAGTTGATATTTGTGATGCAGCTAAATAGGCATATATGCACAATACAAAAAAAAAAAGAAAATTAATCAAGAATAGAGTTTTTATCAACGACATTTAAACTTAGTTATGTTATTAGACAATGAGTAACAAAATTTTTCTCATTGTTGAAAACAATGGACACAGAATCGGTAGGACATAGCTGTTACTAACAATAACTGATCTTTGATGTAGAGGAGAAGAGTTATTATTAATTTTTTAATGTGAAAAAGAAGTTTTTCGTTTTCAGTTACTGAGTAACTATTATATTAAGTATTATTCCAGTAGTGGTATGTTCTGGTCAGAGTGCCATTCTTTATTTATATTTCATTTAAAAGTAGCAAAAAAATCTTATATGGTATACATTCAAGAAGTTTTTATATAAATATAAAAAGCAAAATAAATTATGAATCATACAATAGAACATTGAAATAAAGATCAAGCCAAATTTTTAACTAATTATAAATAATTTTTCCTTAAAATTACATTAAATTGATTTCTTTTCAAAATATATAATTTTCATTTGTTGCACTCATTATTTTAAATTATAAACAATGAGGCTTTTTCAATATATGTTATTCTAGACAGAAAAGACAAAAAGGTTTCAATCAATCACCTATCAGAACTGTTTTTTTTTTATGATTGATAGTCAAATTTTTTTTGTTTCTTGTTTGACCTATAAATCATCGAAATAATTTGATAATCTTGTTTATAGATCATACATTGAAAATAAAAATATCCTTTTTAAAGACATATTTTCATCATACTAATTTACCTTGCAAATAAACGATAACTGAATGCTTTTTTTCTGTACTCCATTAATCTTTTATTTCGTTTCTCATATTGAAAATGTGACGCGCACTATGATTTAACTCATCTTGACATAAAGCTTTTTCTGTGAATAATAAGTATTCGATATCTGATCAAGTCATAAGGATAATAAATCATGAACATTCAACAAATATCATTAATAGGCCGATATGCAACAAAAGAAGAGAGCAAGCGAGAGAGAAAAGCAGTGATTCAATATATATATAAATTCGAGTTCAAATCAGACAACTGTATTCTATTAGAATCAATAAAATTGACAAACATACAGTTAGTCATATACATATATATATCATTGGTTGGCCATCAACACGTTAGTATGACGCACTGCATGAGTAACTTTGTCGCTACCTTCGATAATAATAGCTTTTGACCTACTTCATCAATCTAATTGTATATCTATCAATAGAAGCACGCGCTTGTATAATAGTCACACATGAGAAGAGAAACAGACACACAGATGGTCAAGGTGAGCATCATGAAGAATAAGTCATATTGAGAAATACAATAGAAGAGAAGTGAAGTGTGACGTTCAATAACTGTTACATATATTTGTTAACGAAGTACATCTTTAAATAGCTTGCAGTTTTCAACAATATCTCTTACCAAAACGAACTATCAAAGAAAAATCACTCCTTCGAATTTATTCTTCATCTGTTTTAATTGAACTTTTAGAATGTGATATCCATAACAATTACTCAAGGTATTTGTTAGCAGAAGTTGGCATACATTTTTTGTCTCGCTAAGCGAAAAATAAGTGAAATACAAACGAATAATTGATCTCTAGTCAAAATTACTACTGTATTTGCTTTATGTTTATTTTCTTGATGATCATTCATTTTACTGACGTTACACATGAAGCAAATACAGAATGTTTCTGTGAAGTTTAATTAAAAGTTGAAATTAGTATCGATTCAGCTGAACTGATAGAATATAACAAAATTGAATATGAGTAATTGAATGACACTAATTATTAAGTATTCCATAGAAATCTTGATGTACAAATTAGTAAATTGTGTACTTATTCACTTTTTTGCCTATTCTATACTGGCATACTCTCTCTTGCAGAACATCTTTTGCTGGAAGTACGCTTTAGGGAAATGTACATAGAACGAATTTCTTTTTTAAATTTCTACTATTTACTACTCAACAATTTTAGCAGCTACGAACTGTTCTGTTTTATATCTCAGGATGCAAAATTTTATGGTCTTCGTTATGGTATAATAATAAAAGTTTTAGGATGTAAAATGATGGAGATATGAGAGTCATAAAGTGTACTTATAGTAAATCCATACACTTTAGGGTCGCTGACTCTATATCAATAATAATTCATAAAAGCATCTTTAAAGATTTCCATATAAAAATAAACGCAACATTGCTTTACTAGACAAAACGAAAGAATTCATTCTTGCAATTAAATTATGACGAAATTTGTCGACACAGTGACTTTTGAACACAATGCATTGAATGTAGAATTCAATGCTGTTTATAGTATGAGAAATAAACCAATCGACAATATGAAACAAAAAAAAAAAAAAGAAAAAACAGTTTTTATCAAGCTTATGTAATGGATTTTACTTTTCGTATCATTCCATTCGAAACATGGACACGTGCAGTGTCTAACGTTAAACCGGGATGTTTATCGTTATTCTATACTGTTTTGTTTTCAAAATTGTCACAAATTCTTTCTCTGTTATGTATTGTTTATCTTAAAAAGTGTCTGCATTCAATTATATAATCAATCATTTCCATGATTAGAAAAAAATGTTGTTAGGATTTCAACGAAAGTTACATGCAATATAAACAAAGTGATTTGCTTGTAATGAACTATAATCTTAGATATTCAATTTTGTTTGAAAGAAAAATTATCATTTAAAATTTATTTCCATGTAAAAACAGTCATTGACCTTTTTTTGTGCTCGAGTTTGTATTTTTATGAAGATTCATCTAGCTTCCATTTATATTCTTTAATTAAGAAAAAAAGATTTGACTCAAGATGTGACTTTTCAAATGACAATGAAAGCTCCTAACTATAATAAAGTTGATATATTTGACAGGTTTTTAAAGAATTTGTTTCAAAGACGATGGCGTCAAACAAAAAAGCACATGCTCATTTTTTCTTCGGAAACTTAGTATTCATCTTAACCGATTTTTTGGATTTAGCAAACAAACTTGTTTTCTTTTGTGAAGTACGATCTAAAAGAAATGTGGAAGCATAGGGGTAAAAATTTGCACTCGTCTCCCATCAGACAGTGACCGGCGCCAGTCAGCAACTATCGTAGACTGTATCTCAATAACGTCTCGTTATTGAGAATCTGGAGAAATAATTAAAAGGACAGAGAAGAAATGTGTCCAAAAATCGATCAAACAAAACAACCTTCCTGTGATTATCAAAAGCAATCAGTGGTAGCGCAACCGGGGTGTCGAGGGTGCAACTCCTCTCAAACGGTGAAAATTGTTTTTGTTTTTCAGCAGAATTGTAACTCTTTTTTCGAATTTTGTTAAAAGAACGATGTTTTCTTTTTGCAAAAACTCGCGACACTCCGCCGACTTTGATTGCTTCGGGCCACCACTGACAACAACTATATCAAGCTTCACATGTTAATCCTTCAGAGATTTCACTAAGAGATTTTCTTAAAGAAAATATTCATTTCATTAAATAAACTTCATGAAAATATTTAAAAGACATTCAGATTGCTAAGATAGATGTCAGTAGTCATCAACCTGATTCATATTTCTAAATGAACCAATCCTGATACAAATATAAATAGAGGCCCATGAAGTTATACTTCAATGGAAGAAACAGAAGGAAACTTAGTTCTAATTCATTTACCTGTCAGCCGCAATTTTCTTTATATTTCATATGTTAATATAATGATTTGATTATTTTTGTTTAAGATGACTTCTGCGGTGAATTCCGCCGCAATTATGAATGATGAATTAACGTCTAATACTTTAAAACGACGTCGTTCATCAAATATAATTCAAAATGATTTAGACATTGAACAAATGCCGTCAAAACGCGTTCGTACTTCATCATCAACTAATAATTCTACATCTGATAATAATAATAATAATATTCAATCAATGTTTAATTGTCTTAATGATATTGTTCAATCTCATCGTAATCTAGTTCATGAATATGTTAATTTACAAATGTATGATCGACCTGATTTATCATTAGATGAACAACGTTTTATTCAAGCTGAAGAAGATCTTATTGAAAAAGTTGAAAAAAATTTACATGATATTAATAATACACCATTAACACCATCATCATCATCACGTTCTGGTAAACGTCAACGATATCAATCAATAAATTCATCAAATCAATCATTTGATCGTGTTAAACATGAAACACATATATTTAAACGTATTGATGAATTAAAATCTGATGGTAAATGGACAAATCAACGTTTAGCTAAATGTTTAGAACCTAAAAAACGTAAAACACATTGGGATTATTTACTTGATGAAATGCGTTGGTTAGCAGAAGATTTTACACTTGAAAGACGTTGGAAACAAGAAATGGCTAAAAAACTTTCTCTAGCTGTTTTAAAATATTTTCGTGATAAAAATCAATTAGAAAATCAACAACAACTTAATGAATATAAACGTATACGTAAACAAGCACAATTTATTTGTAAAGAAGTTATGAATTTTTGGAAAAATATAAATAAAATAGCTGAATATAAACAAACAACACGTTTAGAAGAATTACGTAAACATCAATTAGATTTACAATTAAATTTAATTGTTAATCAAACAGAAAAATATTCAAATTGGCTTGTAAAATCTTTACAAATATCAACAAATCAAAATCAAATAAATAATGATGATGAATATCATATTAATAATAATATTAATGATGAAGATAATGAAGAAACAATTGAATATGAAGAACAATATGAAAAAGATGAATATGATTTAAATGAAATAAAAGAACTTCAAGCTGATCAACAAGAATCAATTGAAATTTTATTAAAACGTCATTATGGAATTGATACATTAAATTCATCAAGTGAAAAAGAAAATAATCTACTACAAGAACAACAAGAAAATTTAGATGAAGAAAGTTTAAGTGATAGTGATACAAATGAAAATTTAGATGAAGAATCAACATCTAATGAAACAGATGAAAAGAATCAAATAACAACTGATAAACAAATGAATGATTTAGCAACAACAGTTCAAGCACTTCAACCAACGGGATTTACACTTAATACTACAACAGTTAAAACACCGGTGCCTTTTTTACTTAAACATCCATTAAGAGAGTATCAACATGTTGGTCTTGATTGGCTTGTTACATTATATGAAAATAAACTTAATTGCATATTAGCTGATGAAATGGGTTTAGGTAAATCTATTTATTTACTATAGAAAAAAAAATAGATCGTGAAAAAAAACCATCAGGAATATGAACTAGTTACATGAATATACGATGGAAGCAATTAGAAGGAAAAAACGATGTGTAGTTTTAGTTTACTGATCAATTAAGTAAATATCAGTGTTTAGTGAAGCGTTAATGCTAATTTCTACTGACTAAAATTTGTAGTCAGAGTAGCAAAATGTGGACCCTTGTCTGTAAATTAACGTTATCTATATGAATACATATATATAGGTATTAGATTGTTCGAAATGTCCTTGTATCTTTCACCTACACCATCGTGTAGAGTGTGCATTTTCACTAGGATCATTTTCTGTTTGCTTTGATCACATCATTCTCTCTCTAGCAACAGAAAAGAATTTTACACTACTGTGTCTGAGAATGATTCAGATATATCGAATTTCGTGCATTGATGAAGCTTTTTATTCGAAAAGAGTTGCATTGTACCGAATCTCACTAATCAGTCTGGCATGTATAGGATGAAGGAAGAAATTCGTTATGAATATTTGCCAGTGCTTCGCCGATCTCGCTATAATTCCATCGTTTTTGAATAAAAAGCTTAATGAATTATTAGTTTTTGACCCTTTTGAATCATACTCTAACGCGGTAGTGAAAATCTTTTTTTCCTATACAGAGAATGAAGCTATTGAAGCAGGTCGGGATGAAATTCGAATAAAAACGTATACTCTACACTATAGTATAGGTAAAACGATTCACGAATGCAGTACTAAATTAATTGCACGAACTTTCTGGACAATCTAGTAAGTGACTGAAATACAGTAAAATCTCTCTATTGTGAGAATATACCATCAGGACATATTCAAAAGTGTTTACTTTAGAGAGTTGAAGCATCGTTTGCTCTGAAATGAAGAAAATCCGCTTCTATATTAGTTATAGATAAAGGTCTCACTATTTACTATTTTATTCATCTATTTTCATTTGAATGATTTGAATTGAAAGACACGTCAAGTGCAACACAAAATTTAATTGATTTTAAAAGAAATTCTCTAATTTTATTTGTTTTTGTGCTTTTGAACTAATTTTTTTTATATCTTATTGTACAAACCATTGATATACTTGATCATCTTCTTGTAAAGTAAGTTTGTGTCATGATGTCATTGTTTATACTACACGTACGTCAGTCGAATCGTACACGAAATATACTGACTCGTAATGTATACGAAACAGGTGACAAAACAAAGAAATAGGTCAGACAAGTATGTTCACGTTACATAGAGGTATTTACAATAAAAATCACTCTGTCGAATTCAAGACTGTTCATAATTATAAGACGTTCACTAGTAGAGCGTTTACGGCAATAGAACAAAATTTGAAAATAAACCTGATCGAATAATTTTGAATGCCATTGTTTTGTATTAAGACGAGAGCTAGAAGTGATACATTTCTGTGCAATTGGCTTATTGTTCAAAATTATATATCCTCAAAGTTTATGATTTTTTTTTTTGGAAGGATATTTGTGCTTATTCCACTATTTTCCGTTGATAATAAGAAGTAAAAGCACAACAAGTATATATTTCGCAGAGTTGCTGCCTTCGTGTTTCTGTGAACACTGATAACATTGACGTCGGTGTAGGTCTAGCTTCAGTGTTATTGATATTGCTATCACTATTTCACTGTTTACATTAACACTGCATCATTCCGTGAAAATGGAGACCGGCAGACCGTATTCAGTCCAAGAGGTCAATAGTATACTTCAGATATGAGACCGGCTGTAACCGGTGTGTCTGATTCATTTTTTGTTCATAGTATCTGATAGAGAATTGTAATGAAACTTTATTAAAAATTGCCTATATCAAATATCACTGCCTACAGATGAAATAGTATGACAATTTGTCAGTTTTGTATCGGTATAGATTTTAGATTAGCTATTCCTTCTTACTTTGTTTACAATGAGAATATTTTAAACTTTATTACTCTAAAAGTACAAGCATATCTTCAAGTATGCTTATACATTCTTGATTGAATCTTATAAAAGTTGCTTCATAAACTGCATATCTCAATATGATGTTCGGTTTTGTTTTCAATATTATGTGAGAATTCTTATTTTCATGATAAAAGGATTTCATTATATTCTCTTGATTAACTGCAATCTAAATGAACTATACATATCAGATGAGAGCATTTATCCATATGAGATTCATTTTAAACTACCTTTTGTCTAATCAACATTTATTAAAACTGAATTGATACTGATTTCAAAAGAGTTTTCAACAATGAAAATTTCATTTCTCGGTGAAAAGAGTGGCATCCCCTAAAATATCGGAATTGTTACAGCTTCGTGACAACTTTAAATAGTAATAAGACTTTTTTTTGAAACACCCTTTACTTTTCTCTGATAGACAACGAAATAAAAATAAGCAGATAATGTTGTTATGAAGTGAATAAAATTGAGGAAGGACCGTCTGATAGCAGGTCGTCAATTGTGAGACAAGTCAGATTACGTTTGGTTTCGTTCTTCTTGTCTTCCGTAATATCGACAACCTTGATTGAGAATTACTTTTATATCTGTGTGTATTACTTTTTAGGTAAAACAATCCAAACAATTGCTTTACTTGCACATTTAGCTTGTGAAAAAGGTAATATTACAATAAAATCGTATTCGATATAAATCCGACTATTTATTATATATAGGTGTTTGGGGTCCACATTTAATTGTTGTTCCAACGAGTGTTATGCTTAATTGGGAATTAGAATTTAAAAAATGGTGTCCAGCTTTTAAAATTTTAACGTATTATGGTTCAATAAAAGAACGTCAATTAAAACGTCAAGGTTGGACAAAAATGAATGCATTTCATATATGTATAACATCATATAATCTTATATTACAAGATTCAAAATTATTTCGTCGTAAAAAATGGAAATATTTAATCCTAGATGAAGCACATAATATAAAAAATTTTAAATCTCAACGTTGGCAAACATTATTAAATTTTCATTCACAACGTCGTTTATTATTAACAGGTACACCATTACAAAATTCCTTAATGGAATTATGGTCATTAATGCATTTTTTAATGCCAAATTTATTTTCATCACATGAAGAATTTCGTCAATTGTTTTCAAATCCATTAACAGAAATGATTGAACAAGGACAAATACAAACAAATGATTTATTAATAAAACGTTTACATAAAATTTTACGTCCATTTATATTACGTCGTTTAAAAATTGATGTTGAAAAACAAATGCCAAAAAAATTTGAACATATTATTATGTGTCATTTATCTAAAAGACAACGACAATTATATGATGATTTTATTCAATGTAAAACAACACGTAATATTATTCAACAAGGTAATTATATGTCCGTTATTAATATACTTATGCAATTAAGAAAAGTTTGTAATCATCCCGATCTATTTGAATCACGATCGATTATTTCACCATTTATTTTTCAAAAAAATTTAATTCAATATCAAATACCGAAATTAATTTTTGATATTAATTTAAAAAATCCATATGTTCTATATGATACACAACCAAATGATACATTTCTTTGTTATCGAATTCAATTAACTTTACAAGCAACTAAATCTATGATTATGAATATAATTAATAATAATAATAATAATAATAATGATGATGATAAACGACAACGTATTCAATTAACAACAAGTATTATTGAACGATATAGAAATAGTTCTATATGGTATCAATCCAATGAAACAACAACAACAAGAAGTATGATTAATAGCTTTTTTTTTCTTGATTTAGCATTTAAAAAATGATTATCTTTTATTTAGCCCTTCGAAATCATTCCGAAATCAAACAAAATCTATTAATTGACTTAAACGATCATGAATTTCAATCAGAAAACATTTATGTAAGTTCAAAATCTATGTGTAAATAAGATTTTTTTCTTCATTAGAACATAAACAATAGTAGTGACGCAAAAAGGTCAGAGCAGAACGAATTGATAAGAAAGGCAGAAAAGAAAAATATCGAAAGGACAAAGTAGATGAAAGCTATACATCGAGGGTGGATGGGTGTGATTGTGGGTGTGGCTGTACGTATAAGTGAAGATGTCTGAGTCAGAAAAAGACCTAAACTCACACCTAGAGTTCGTTCGCTTTGTCTCAGACCCGGAATCGGTTGGGCATGGATCTGAAATTTTTCTGTTAACCAAATCCGGGTTTGAGAATTTTGGAGCCGAAAGGCTCTATCCACACACTTAAAAACTTAAATTTTTCTCTTCTACATTTTGCTATTCGATAGTTTTTTTTCCCTTTCTCCTGAACCCGAGCAGGAGAGAAGACTCAATGCAATAATGTTCCGAGCCAGTTGTGACTGAAGAGAGGTAATGTAAATTTTTTTTTGTAGTTAGAAATGCACAAAAATGTGGTCGTTTCCGCTGACTGTTACATAAAAAATATTTACAACATAGGAAACAAGAGTGCAGACTACTGAAGTATTCTATCTTGTCTTGCATCTCCGTGTAGCAGAAACATTTTTTTGCACTAGTTACGTTTAAAGGTTTTAGCTATTACATAAGTCATGAGATCATTGACGCCTTTGTCATAGTGTTTTCTAGACAAAAAAAAAATTCAGATATTTATTTCCTCAAATCGAGAAAGCTACTATCAATATATTCTAAAAGGTAGAAGGAGAGTATTCTCTCTTTGATTTCACTGTCCTTGAATATCAAATGTAACGCTTACAAAACAAAGATATTTACTAAGAAATTTTTTCTTGTTATTTTTGTAGCATGAAATTTGTAAACAACGTCAACAAGAACGTTTAGCTCGTTATGAATTACTATGTCAAATCAATGCAGATCGTTGTCAATCTCGTCCGTTGTATGGTTCTGATGTTCTTTCACAAATTGAATTAGTTATGCGTCCATGTCATCGCTTAAATCGAACAACATTTAGTGGATATGCATTATGTCAACAAGTACACGAACCATTAATTACAACTCAAGATTATATGTCAATGAGTGATATTCTTCGAACATTAATTAAAACAAATCGAGAAATATTAGATGAATATCGAGATATACTCAATCGGTAAATAAAAAACATAGAAGACATTGAGGATATGCTCGAGCCATAGTGACGAGGCCTATATTAAAATTTTTCAGTTCTATACCATGATATTTTCGAAAGATATTCAATCAACAAAGGTGAAAAAATAGTATATTTAACAATCTAAAATTGTCTGTAAATTCTCATTCTCTATTTTTAATATTTTTGTTGAACACGATCTAAAAGGAGTGTTGAAGAGTATGCTGGTAGAAATTTGGACCTACATCCTGATTGCATTTCTGAAGAAGAATGTTAAAGAAATGTGTTCCAAAATAGATAGAATCAAACATTCTCTATGTGATTAGCAAAAATAACCACATCGAGTTTCGCATTGTAATCCAGGAGGGATTGCACTAACAGTTGTTTTTATTTAAAAGAACATGTCAGATTGCAGTGCACTTTTTAATTATGTAGAGAAAAGGATAAGAAGCTCAATACCTTGAAAAACTCTTTAAAAAGAAATAGTTATCTATTTATTGAAATATATTCATATATTAATAAAAAAAGCTTAGCTAAAAAAAAAATCCAATTACTGCAGCTTCACATGCTCTTTCAAATAAAAAAACAAAAAGTGGTTGTCCATAATAAAGCTCGTTTGAAAATCTCGAGATTGTTCTCAGTCTCTTCTCCTGTACGTTTATTTTAATTTCGATAATTCTGACGAAAATGGACTTTAGATTTATGATGTGTACAACACGTGCATTAGCATCACCTATTGAATTATTTCAATCAAATGGAATTCGTTTAGCAAATAAAATAAATCAACCAAAACCATTAATTGAAGTTTTATCATCAATTGATTTTGATATTCTTTCACCAATAAGACAAAATATGTTTTTACAATTTCCTGAACGAAGACTTATACAATATGATTGTGGTAAATTACAAAGACTTGATTTACTTTTATCAGATTTAAAACATAAAAAACATCGTTGTTTAATATTTACACAAATGACTAAAATGCTTGATATACTTGAATTATTTTTAAATTATCATGGTTATACATATTTACGATTAGATGGTACAACACAAATTATTGAACGACAAACATTAATGGAACATTTTAATAGTGATGAAAAAATTTTCGTTTTTCTTTTATCAACACGTGCTGGAGGAATTGGTGTTAATTTAACCGGTGCTGATACTGTGATTTTTTATGATTCAGATTGGAATCCTACAATGGATGTTCAAGCACAAGATCGATGCCATAGAATTGGACAAACAAAAGATGTACACATTTATCGGTAAGAATTCAAATCGAAAACAAAATACAATGTATTTTTATTTATATTTTTTAAGACTTATTTGTAAAAGTACAATCGAAGAAAATATTTTGAAGAAAGCAAATCAAAAACGTATACTTGGTGATTTAACAATCGATGGTGGTAGTTTTGATGTAAATTATTTCAAAAAGGTATTCTTTTCTTTTCTTTTTTTCTTTTTTTACAAAGTACCGGTAATTGGAAATTCGATCGAACAGTCTTTTTTTTTTATCACGGTTGGATAGAGCTCATAGAGTTGTCTTAGAGAAGTGTTGTTTTGTAGTAAAGCTAATGATAATTGACATACACAAAAAGCATCAAGTATCTGTAACATCAATACTGATTCGAATTTTGTTTTTGATTTTGTTTGTCATTCAGTTAGAAAAAAAAACAAGATACTTTTTCGATATGATAGGAAAATGTCATAAATGTGAGTTTGTATTCTAAGATTTGGACTATTAGAGCTTCAGTTTTTCGTAAAATTTCTATCGTAGAGAAAGCATAGATTAGAGTATTCGAGAAAGTCTAACAATTGAAATTAGTTTTGAATATTGAGTATGCTATTTGATACAGATTTTTGTGCTGATTTTGAATAGGGATGCAATGGTAACATTGATTACCGCTCTTAAGCAGAGTTCTGTACTGGTCTAAGCATAGACGTATATAATAGCAATGAAGACGGGTTAACGCATGACGAAGCTACGATGATCTTATAATCAAGAGAAGAAAAACGTGTCTTCAGTACTCAAAAGTACGATAGATATTTTAGAGTATTGAAGTCATGCTTTTGTTTCTTTCTCTTAGATTCATTTCGGTCGAGGAAGGTTTACTTCAAGACAATAGCTAAATCTTATAAAATTAAACCATGAGAGTTTACCTTTTCTCGAACGAGAATTTCGATAAATCTCATATAGATTTGAATTTCTGGATCCTGAAAACTCTTAGTCTATTGTTGTAAAACTCTTCTATTTGCTTGAAATAGCCTTTCCGATCGAAATCAATAGAAAACCAACATATTTCTATCATGTGTTCACTGTTAGACTATACATATATGTTTATATCAATGCGCCGCTTTACCCTAGGACTGGAGTACCATCATTGTTCCATCCATTTTTGGCGTAGTTCAATTTTTATAAGTTTTTCTAATTCTTTTAACTGTGCATATTTAACAAAAAAAATTTCGGTCAGTAACTCAACGAGCTTTATCCAACCACGAGAAATACCAAAAAAGAAATTCACTCAAATTTCGAATTGTTAGCAGCCTATCTTTTTCGAAACAAAAATCATTTCAACTCGTTTTTGTTTTAATAATAATTCTAAACAATAGAACAAAATTCGTGAATTATTTGATTCATCAACAACAATAGAAAATATTGTACGTGAACGAAATGAATATCGAGAACAATTAGATTCGAATCGTACAACAACTATGACAGATAATAATTTAACAACAACAGAAATTGAAGAAGCTCTTGCTTCAGTTGAAGATGAAACAGATCGTCAAGCTGCAAATGAATTAAATAAAGAAGTTCAAGCTAAATTAAGTGAATTTAATGAAGATGAAATAATTCATCTAAATGAAGATCAATTAATTGAAAAACAAAAACAAAAAATGAATAAAGTTGAAGAAAAATTAAAAACATTCGATGAACAAGTATTATTTTTTTGTTATTACATTCAAAAAGAAAAATTATTTTCTTATTTTAGCTTCGACCAATCGAACGATATGCTTTACGTTGTATGGAAGCCTATCGTAGTGATCATCAAATTTCTCAAACTGATTCAAATATATATGTAAAATATTTCTTTTTCTAAAACTTTAAAAATCTAACGACAATTTTTTTTTTTAAATAATATTTAGCTTGACACAGAACAAATTCGAAAAGATTGGCAATTATCACGTTTAAAAGCCTTGAAAGAACAAGAAGAAAAACAATTTGAACAAGATGATGATGAAATGATGTATACATATACACGAGACAATGAACGAAAGGTCAAATATAACTATACTTATTCATGTGCACGATATAGTTTGGTAGCGAATGAATTAGCACGTTATGAGAAAAATTCTACAGTTCCCGATGTTAATCATTCATTTTTTTCTTCTCCTACACCATCATTATCAGTTGCTCTTTCCATAACTCCATCTCCTCTTTTATCTCCGCCTCCTCTATCTCCTGGAATCGTCAAACGTTCATTCAAACCTATCGATACCTATTCCCAAACTTCTAATGATAGTATGGAACGACGTCGTCGTTTACAAATTATTTCATCTCCACCTCTATCACCTTTACGATTCGCTAATAAGCAAAGACCATTAGTCAAGCGTCAAATAAAACAACAAATACCGTCTCGTATAAAACAAAATCAACATAATACTAATAATAATGATTGTCTCAACCTCATATCATTTCTCAATAGTGATGATGATAATGACTTACATAGTAATTCTAATAATAGTACTTCAATTCATTCGAAAATAAGCTATTCATCAAAACCTAAAACAAGTATATCAACATTATTACGTGTATCACCAATTTTATCTCGTAAGAAATCATCGTCAATTACGAATAAAAAATCCGATGGTGAACGAAAAGTTCAATTTGGTAATTCATCGGCATCATTAAATTCCTTGAATAAACAATCCATTACATCTGCAATGAATAGTGGTAATTCGAAGTCTCGATCTTCAGAATCAATACTTATGGCTAGGAAATCAACAAGAAATTCATTATTTATGACGAATTTTGTTGATCAATCATCTATTTACAAATCGTCAAATTCTCGTTCATTATCAACAACTGGAGCTCATTATCGAACTCGATCACAACAACAGTCAAAATCACAAATAGTTGAACAAAAAATACGAAATAAAAAAATCTAACAGGAATATGAGGAGGCGGAGTAAAAAAATTCATCTTTCTTCTGCTATTACAGATGATATTAAGAACAGTTTTTGCACGTTTGTTTTCTTCTTTCATTTTTTCAGCATTGTTTTACACATACATACAGCTATATAGTATGATGCTGTTCATTTTTTTCCAGTCTGTATACGTGTACTTGTTTCATTGCTTTTTGTTTCTAATATGAAAAAATAAACCGATAAATTGAGTAAGACACACACACACATACATATGTACATGGATATCAAGGCATAAAGAGATAAAACATGATTCAAGATTTGTGATCACATTGTTTTTTCGTCATATTGACTTTCATTTCCGTCGATCTGTTTGTCAATAAGTACTGAAAATCTTGAACAGTTCAATTAAAATTATCGACTTTTTTTATAGTGAACAATCTTGAATCATGATTTTTCTGGCCTTGAAAATAATAAAAAGTTTTAATGATTTACTTTTTTTTTTGTGTGTTTTGTTCAATTTACGCAAGTTGTTTCAAAGACAAAATAAGGACTTTTATTTGCATTTGAAAATTGAAAACGAATCTAGATAGATATACAGATGGTGAAATAATATAAAAGAAGACAATGATAAACATATTTTTATTCTTGTTTAGATCTGGATCACCGAAGATGGTAAAGCATTTGAGGTTTGTAGCCTTGGTTTTTCGCTTTATATTAATTTCTATTAATTTAAATTATATTAGATATGGTCTGGTATTATAATTAAACATTCAAAAGAAGAAGATGAAGAAATATACAATGATGATGAACTTGATTATGGTTATGAATCAGAAGCAATGATTATTGAACCAGAAGAATATATTCGATTTCCTCTACCGAAAGGTAAAAAACTCATGACGATAAATTTGACATTTACGAAAAGATTTTTTTCTAATTAAACGAGCTGAGATAGTTTTGTAGTAACATTGAATACGCATACTTTAATATGTTATAATAATTTTGTCTTTTTTAAAAACCAATATGAAAGTTCATATGAGTTGAAATATTGATATCATTTTTGACAGACGTACTCCTGTAAAAAAAATTCTTCTTTATGAGATTATATATATTTTCACACAAGATCTCACGTTCTGATAATAAGAGATAACTTGTGAATGCATAAACTTCATACATTTACGAGAGAATATATTCAATTGTCGGGGGACCGTTCGATTCCAAATTTTGGCTAAGAGTACGACTCAATGACATTAAGAAAATTTATAAAGGGGTTGGGCCCATGAATTGCCCAATCAGATTTATGATTGTTTTAATGAGTGTGTGGTCCTTGCACCAGCTATTCATGAAAAAACGAATTAGAAGATCTTCATCTGAACGTTCGCCTAGAAGGAAGTCTCACCTTTAGCTAAAAGTGATATTTTTTTTCTTATGACATAGAGTTGTTCTGTGAAGAAAGTTTCTCAACTGATTTATCACTTTTGAATCGGGACTACGTACATCATACAAAATTCAAATGAGTTATGAATAGCCTGAAAAGAGTTCGTGCCCTTAACTTATTACTGTTTAAGTATCGCACTTTTACGATAGTTTTTAAACGAGCCTCATAGCACATGAGAAAAAACTGATTTTCGAATTTCGACTTAGAGATATATCTGAGTGAGAGTAATTTCCATGAATAACTGGTTTAAAGGCTGAAAGCTCGATAAAAATTATTATTACTCTTATTGAGTAATGTATGAGCTCGAAACCTTGTACAATTTTTTTTAAATTTCACTAAGGCCTACTCAAAACCACAATATAAAATTAAACGACATCTGATAATTGGATATGTTCCCTCATAAGTTATATGTGCTGAAAAACCCATGCTCAATACTTTATTTATAAAGTCATGAATTTCTTTTTAACTTTAGCACTTGTTGATACAACAAATATGTCAAAATCTGATACAAGTATTCTTGTACCACGTTCATTATTTGATCGATCAAATTTATTACTCAATACTCAATCATCATCATTATCAACAAATACCTTAAATAAATCAAAACAAACACCAATTAATAATAATAAAATATTTCCATCAAACATTCCAATACCAATAACACCACAAGCTAATATTAAAGCTCGTCAATTATATGTTAACAATGGTACAACAACTACTCCACTTCCAAATTCTTCAAATACAAATGTTATTGTTTCAGCATCAACATCATCACGTACGATTAAACTCGAAGAAATGCTTTCAAAAGATAATTTTCAAGGTTTACTTGAAATTGATAATAGTGATTGGCTTATATCCGAAGATTATAAAGTCTTAGATACAATTCAAAATATTCAACAATTACCATTAACATCAATGTCATTTTCAAGTACATCAAATGCAAATAAACCTCAATCTATTTTACCAAATTCATCATTATCATCATCATCACAATTATTACCATCATCAACAACACAAACAACAACAGCAACAACAACATCACCATCATCATCATCATCAATTGTTAATAATACAACAAATGCATTAACACAAAATTGGGATTTCATATCGGATATCGTTAATCGTTATTCACGTGTATTACGTACACCAAAACAATGTAAACATCGTTTTGAACAAGTTATTGGACCACGTGAAGAAGGTCGTGTTGTTTATGATTTAATTAAAAAAAAGAAACATGTTATTAAAGGAACTGTAAAAGTAAGATAATCACAAAAACAAAACAAAAAATTATCATAGAAATTTCTAAATAATTTTTATTTTAAGATGTCAGATGATAATTGGCAAATGTTACGTACAAATCAATTATTTATTCATGATAATTGTCAAAAATTATTACAAATTTATCATCAAAAATTAGATACTATTTCACAATTTGAACAACAAATATCACCAATGATTTATTTAAATAAATTTAAACAAATACAAGTAGCTCAAGCTGCACATCATCAAACAAGAGGTTTAAAACAAGGTGTACTTTTACAAGAAAATAGTATGTGAAAAAACAAACATTACAATCTTTATTTATTCATTTTTCTTTTCTTTTCTAAAGATATTAATATTGATGTACCATTAACACCAAGTGATGTATCATATCAACGATCAGAACGAGAAAAAGAATTGAAACAACAACAATCAACACAAACTATTACTGGAAATGTTCATCAACAACAACAAATTTCAATTACACAAAATAATATTGATAATATCAAACAACAAACACCTCCTCCTAATGCAACATTAACATCAACAATTAATACTCGAGTAAATTTTGTTTGCTTGTCTTTTTTTTTATAATTCTTTCTTGTTTTATTTCTTACTTTTATTTAGATTCGACCATCAACAATAAATACTACACCAACACCAATTAATTCATCTCCTTCACCTTCTCTTTCACTTATTCAATCACCTTCACCATCAAGTTCTCCTACAATTCAACGATCAATTTCGAATAATATTATTGTTGCAAGTAATAATCATTCAAATATGAATCCAACTCGTTCTCAAAGTAATATTTTACCATCTCGAACTAATGTAAGTATTTTATAAAGCAAATGATGAAAAATATTGATCTTTTTCTTTTAAATAAAATATTTTCTTTTTTTTTTATTCAATTCTATAGTTATCATCTTCAACAACAGCATCAATCAATTCAATGTCTTCATCAAATCAACCATCTATTCCAACAGCTACTATTTTACCTGGACAAAGACAAGTACAAGTTTTACCACCGAATAATAATTTAACAAATGAAACAAATTCTTTACAACAAAAACAAGTCGGAACAGGTTAAATAATGTTTTCTAGTTTTTATGAAACACGACCTACAAGAAATATTGAACTATAGGGGTAGAAATTTGTTTGCATTCTCCTCCTAGACATCTTCGCAACGAGTCATCACAGATCGTGACAGATGTTCTTGACATCAGAATAAAAGTATAAACCGATACATTGATTGGTGGTGACAGTTGCTGAAAATGTTGAACATTTTTTTTCGATTCAATACCCTCCCGTTATAATATATGAACTATTTCCTTATTGCATATCTGGAAGACTACGTAAAAAGATGGTGAAGAAGTATATTTCAAAATAGATAGAATATAAAACGATCGTTCCATGATTAGCAACAGCAGCTACATTGTGATTCACATTTTAATCCAACAGAGATTGCGCTAATAGTTTTTATTTCTAATTGTAATTTCTATTTCTTTGTTGTAGTTCAAATTTCATCTAATGAATATCGTCACGTACGAGCTCTTTCTCATCAACACCCAACAACAACAACAACAACAACAACATCGACAGTAAATCCATCACCAACATCAACTAATATTCAAGTTCGAGCACCAAATTATCAACGAAGTCAAAGTCAAGTATGTATTTCGTTATTTAAATTCAATTTATAATAAATCATTAGACATCTTAAAATTTCATTGGAAGAATATCGTTGCAAATATTAATCCTACATAGTAGTAAAATTACTAAAAAAAAATATTATCTCGAAACAAATTCTTTTAAAAATTATGAATTATCATAAAACAAATATGTTTACTTTATAGACGACTCCGTTAACTACTCTTGAAGTTCGTTCACAACTTCCACCATCTCCAAAATCTCAACAACAGCAACAAACACAAACACGACCATCGTCAACAGCTTCACGTACATCATCCGTTACACAAACACAAGTTGATTATCTTATTCAATCACAAGCAAAATCTCTCGCTTCGTCAACTGTAGATAGAAAAAATAATGAAAATCTATTTTTATTGTTTTTTGTTTTCTGTAGCCTCCATCAACTCTTCCGGTTGCTGTTGTTCGTCCGGTACAACACTCATCAACATCTATTGCTCCAACAATATCATCTTCATCTCCAACATCACCATTAAATATTTCTTCTTTGAATGTAACAATACCTTCAAGTAAGTCAAATTTTCTGTCATTAGTTTAAGTATGCATTTTTTTGGTAAATTTTACTCTATTTAGATAAATTAACAACAAATACAACAACAACTACTACAACAAATAATCCTACTCAACAATTACGAACTGCAACTGCATTTTTACCAAATTCAACACCATCGTCATCTCAAGTACAACAAGCAACACAACAAATTCGACAATTATTTACAAATTCTGGTAATAATTCACTTCAAACACAACAAACAACCCATGCACAAAGATTAACTGAAACTGCTCAACGTTCACCAAGTAGTGTAAGTATATAAAATATTTCTTTATACAAATCATTTCAGGCAAAACGGAATTTACGTACCTTTTATTTGATTTTTATTCTTTACAAGAGTTATCTTTCTTAATAAATTCTTTTAGCATAGACGCAGATGAAAAAATATCGTCTCTTTCAGCTGACTATTCATTAAAGTGTTATCAATGAATATCTCTCTAATCATATGCCAAAAATATCCGAAAACTTCAGAATAGACTCTATGTTACGAATCACATCTACAGTAAAATTGTCAGCAAGATCAAAATTCGAAAAACTTACTTTGTAAAATTCCTATCAAATCCTGCTGTAAAAGTTTTTGTTTTACCATCATCTAGCGATTCTAAAGAAGGATTTGTACAATTTGAAATTAGTTTTGAACTTCTTATTCGGTTATAAGAGCTGTTTTTTCATACTCCCCCTCACATCGCTCATGAAAAGTAAACTGATTTTTTAAGAAAATCTAGTCATTTCAAAATTACTGCCTCAATTCGCAGCTTTTTTTAAACTAAAATACATGAAGTGGAAGTTAATTTTCGTTTTTAAACGTTAGTCTTTTACTGATAATTCATCTGACCAAAGTTCTCTAGGCTAGCTTAACATCCATGTAACACGTACAAAAAATTAGCTGTAGAAACGTTGATTATCCCGAGATAAATATAGTCTAATTTGGTAAAGTCATGTCGCTAATAGTGTCCTGCACTAGTACAATTTTTGGCATTCAGACCAGGACCGAAGCTAATCGACATCCGACAGATACTTTTACAGATATGGCATAGTTTTCAAACTTTTATTTTATATGAAAAAGTGTACCATTTAGTTACTTTCATAAACAGCAACAAAAAAAAGAGATCATCTCAAATTCTATGAAAAAGACAAATGATTCAAGATTCAATTGATATCTTTTCTACGTCTAAAATCCGATCCATGTCTCTAAGTCTACGTTTACTTGTTGCAGATGACACTGGAATGGAATGTAATATTGATGTCAAACGTCATACTTGCCAATAAATACATGAATGCTTTTTTCATTGCGATGATACACATTCATCTTTTTGATAATTTACTTCTCTCTCCATTTATTCAATTTGCCATATGGTTCATCATTATCTATAGATGAATTTTCATTAAAAACTAATTGTTTTAGTAAAACAATATTTCTTCCCACTTCTGTGACCTGTTCTCAAGTACAATAAATTACTTGATCCTGATCGAACTGGTTTTCATTTCTTTTCTTATATAAACATATATATATAGTAGTTTAAAAAAAGTAAAACTATTTTGAAACGTCGAGATCTCATATGGTGCCGAGTATCTGACTCGGCTGCAGGACACTAATCACTAACAAATGATTTTGTTCGTATATAAGAAATAAACATAGCGAGAAAATCGATTCGAACTAATGTCTAAAATAAAAATAACTTCGTGTTTTTTTTTTCTTCTATAAATAGATTCAACAAATAATTGCTTCTCGTACAGCATCTCTTCCTGGCCAAGTTCGTAATGTTCGTATTCTAACATTTACACCTGGAACTAATCCAACAACAGGCATTGCTGATACAACAACAACAAATACTCAACAAACACCTATACAATCAACTAATATAACATATAATCGTGCAGGTTCATCGACATCATCATTTCAACGTTCAACTATTAATATTGATCAAGATATTTCACCTGATTTAGCTGCTCATGTACATCGTATTAAATCATTTAATGTGACAAATACAGATCCAAATGATACAACACAAACACCACGTGCTGTACTTGTACCAGCACGAACGATATCTGGTTCATCAACATCATCAGCATCATCAGTTGGTTCAACATCAAAAATAAAATCATCATCACTTATTGATTCAGCAACACTTGGTTTTACAACGAAAACATCTCAAGCTAATATTGTATTTCAATTACCATCATCAACATCAACAACAATAGGAGGTGATGAACAAACAACAATGAATTCATCTAATTTAGCACGACACAATTTATTACAACATTTAAATTTAATACAATCAACTATGAATCAACGAGCACAATCACCAACAACTATTTCAAGTACAACTAATTCAATAACTTTTAATCGTCTACTTCAACAATGTCAAATACGTACTGCAGCTACACTTAATTCTTCAACATCAGCAACACAAATATCATCGGGACAAACGAATAACGAACAAATATCATCATCATCTCCTCCTCCACCACCACCACCATCTGCTTCTTCTTCTTCTTCTTCTACGACTTGATAATTGTTTTCTTCTTTTTTTTTTCTCTATCGTCTATGTACAGTTAGTCATGTTTGACCGTTTTTTTTTTCTAGTCGAAACAAAAAAGAGGAAACTTATTTTTTATTGTGCACGCTAGAGAACATGTTGTTCATCTTTATATACATATATATATATATTATTGAAAGAATTTCAACAAGCAAGAAAGAGATCTTCTCAGGGATATATGTCTACGTTCTCATTTGTCCAATGTTCTTTTTCCTAAGAAGATCGACAAATAAAAAGAAAAATCAATTGGTTTGTTTGTTTGTTTTTTCACTTTGATTATTATTATTAGATGAAAATGAAAGAAAAAAAATTAATACAATATTTATTTTCATCGAAAAAGAAGAAACAAACTACAAATGATAGTGTAGATGATAAACAAATATATGATAGACGTTTGTTGGCATTTCTATCATCGGATAAGGTAATATTCGTAAATTATTTTTTAGCATATTAGAAAAGAGATTTTTTGTAAATATTAATTATTATACAATGCAAATGCATTGAAATTTATTTCTCGTTAAGAAAGTATTAAATATATTTCAATTTTTTTGTTTGTATAAAAAAGCAAAATTCGAAAAATATAACAAAACAAATGATTCAATATGTTTAGTCTTAATTTGTTAGAATGGAATGTAGTTATGAATCGATATTACTAATTACTTAATTTAGATTTTAATCTGTTAACCTTGATGTAATTTCAGAAGAACCACTGATCAACCAATCATATAAATAGAGTATTGGTGATCTTTATATGCTAATAGTATCGATAGAACCACTGAATACATTAATTTTTATGCGATATGGTTCGGTAAGTCCAGTAACTATGGAAGCAAATGAAAGACTACCGAGGGAAGTACCTCAACTGTCAAATCGCTTTCGAGTCGGGAGTATGTGCGTAATGTAGGTCCTAATGAGCTATGAATACCCTGAAAAGGATTCGTGCTGCTAGCTTATTACTGCCGAGCTATTGCATTTTTACGGTATTTTTAAATAGAAAGCCGTAGTGCCCCTCAGGAACACGAGGAAAACTGATTTTCGAATTTCGACTCGAAACTTTGCATATAAATANNNCCTCTCTTATTATTAATTATGAATGTCATAATTCAAATTAAGAATGAGTGAATGTAAATTTAAAATTTTTATTTTTCAATTTAGATAGCATGTGAAAATTTCTTCTATAAGAACTCTTAAATTAAATATGAACATCGTTTTACTATTATCTTGAGTGTAATAATATTTTATCATTCAAACTTTTAAAAAATCACTTCAAATTAAAAACAGTTTTTTGAACGTAGAAAGATTAATTTTATACAGTTAATAGAGTACAACAGTTATTTATATTTATAAAATATCGACGATAATAATAAGATGCAATAATTGATGAAATTATTCATAAGAGTTGTCATTTGATTGTTTTTATAAATTAATAGCAATATAAATCATTCAGTTAATTATGCATTCACACTGAAGATCAAGTTTTCAATGATCATCGAGTGCATTTCTTTGTTTATATTCTGGCTTGATGTTTGAAAAACATTAGATTAATCCGTTTTACGTCTATATTGAATGTAACCGTGTTTGTTATTGTTCGATTAATACAATCGTTTAATATATATCTTCATTATTGACAATAGATACAAGTACAAAAATACAAATACAATGAATGAACAAGAATTGGTCTTTGATAACAAAAAAATTAGCACTAAAATAACACATAACTCATTGGAATATTTTTATTTGTTCATATGATTTTATTTTTCCAAATATAAATAAATATTATGAAAAAAAAGTTTTCTTGTCTCATGCTTCCCTTCAATAATTGTTATAAGATAATAAATTAGGATTTTGTATTCGGATAATATTAAAGCAATGAATAAAAAATAATCAACGAATGGAAAGAAAATTTAAACTATTTAATAATTGTTCTCTATCAATTGGTATATTATTTCGTAAGAACAAAACTTCTATTGTTTTCTATGTAGAAATCAATCGAGTCAAATATTCTTATATTTTGAATACATTCATTCGATTATCTAAAGCTAAGAAATTTACGAATGTCGTAAAATGAAAATTCTATTATTGGAATAATAGTAGTTACAAATAAAATTGTCCCTATTAACCCGTGTTAATCTCACAGTTATCTTTAAGAGAAGCAATTAGAATACTTTTCCTATCTGAAGATCAAGAAATACATATGCATAATTGAGGCAAATGTCAATATCGATATGTATTTTGAAAATGTTATCTGAAATAGCATACTCTTGATATTGTTGGACATATTGAAAGAAATATACGTATATTCTACTAGAGAACCTTGTTGACGTTCGAAAATATTTATATATAACAAAAACAATGTCGCAAGTCCCACATTGACTTTTCTATATTTGTTTTCTTCATAGTTGCATTTTTCGTTTAAGTTATGAATAGATAGATGTCATTCATGGGTTTTGAATATATATAAATAAACAGTCATATCTTCGCTTCTGAGAATTATCGTTGCTCTTAGAAGGGTGTTAAATAATTCTTTGACTATTCAAACTTGTTCAATCCAACTTCATATTTAAACCTATTATTTCTATATGATTCATTCATGCAACTATCGATATGCACAACATGAGAAATATTGTTTAAATCAAGAAAGAAATTTTAACAAATTCATGGTCCTTCAAAGTGTCTAGTTTTTGACGATACTTGATGTCATTCAATTTATTAAACAGTGCAAAATGTTTTCAATTGAGGTTGTCTATGTTTTGCAAATGGTTATGAGTTGCTATTATCAAAATAACAAATTAACGTACAGCAGTGAACAAAAGTCTCTACCCTAGAGGATCTCAACCATTATAACTGCTAAAGATCTGAAAATTGATATTCACGTATTTCATCAACAATGTTTGGAGTCAGAGACATAATTTTGCTTCGGTTGTTCTAGTAGAAAAAGCATTATGATAGATGACAATGAATGACACCTATATTATCGTTGAACTTCATAATTCAAGAAAATATGAGCTTTTTAGATTAGCTAACAGCTCATTATGTAGTTTTGCACTCCCAGCTATCTACACAACTAATTTCATTGAAGTTCATTAACACTCTCTAGCACTGTAGCAATTTTACTGCTGACTGCTAATGTGAAGAAAAATTATCTGATATTCATTTGAGACGTGAACGCAGTAATAATTCTATGAAAGAAGTTCAAATTCTTAGAAAAAGCTACCTCTACAGTTGGACATTACAGCTACAAATTTCATAAACAAATTGTGTACTGATAGGAAATATCATAGCTATGACCATTGTGTTGATGAGGTAGAGGGTTCAGAAACATCGAGAGACACCAATATTCAAGCAAATAAACTCATCTTTTGAGTAAAGAGTGACCATCGACTGAACTTCAGTTCCATTCAAAAACATCAAGAATTAATCACGTATTTAGTAAAAAGTAGTACAAAATTGAGTGAGTAGCCCCCTTTTCAGTTTAAATGGACTTATGCAAAATACGGTGTCATTCATCATAATTATCTTTGTACTTTAGCCATCGAAATATAAAGCTTGAATATTACTTTTTCAGGTAAAATTAGCATTTGGAGTCAATTTTAGTATTATTGATGGTCTATTGTATCTATGATACTTACATAAAATTTATATTGGATTCTACAAGTTATGATGTTAAAAGTTATGATGTTCATGTTTATGCTGTATATATATTTAAATATCTCATCACTATCATCGTTATATTTTTCTTGCTCGTGTTTTCGTTTATAACATCTGTTAATTGTCTTGGTATAGGTTGAAAATGATCGTTTAAGATCGAAAATTTCATTATATACGATAAAACAAAATAAATCGTGTTAAATGTTATACTACATAAAATTTGCTTTCAAAATTGATATGAAACAAATTAGTCTTATTAAATTAATTTAGTATAAAAGTAGTAGAAATGTCAAAAGTAAGCAACTAATTAGTTCATGTGCCACATAATTAGTTATGACATTATCATATTAGATCATTGTTTCTTATCATAATGATCAATAGGATATTTTCAATCGCGAGTTGTTTTTCTTTAATATTTCAAACAGTTTTGTTGTCTCTAAGTTAATTTTGTTGTTGCAAAAGTATAGGTTAGTCAGCGTCTATAAAAGAGTATATGAGGTGTAAAGTGAGAAGAATAAAATAAAAATAGTTTACTTGGTAATTTTTCAATGTAGAGATTAAATGTTGTGCTCCTATGTCATCAATCTGATTATTGTTTAAGTTGAGTGTGGTAAGTGTCTGCATGAAATGATTAGTCGATGATTGAATAGAAACGAGCAGAAATATTTACTGAATTCAGTCTCAGTGCATGAGCGATATGTTGTGCTCCTATTTTTCCGACTTGATTGTCTCCTAGATTGAGTGTAGTAAGTCCCTATCAGAATTATGAGTAAGTATTAAAATAAGATAAGGAAGAAGAAAAAAAAATATATATGCCTTATTGTTTCGAAGTGCATCAGCTAAATATTGTACTCCTAGTGATCCGATTGAATTATTGTATAGATTTAGTGTAGTAAGACTCTATGAAATAATAAAGAATGTTGAACTAATTAAGTAATGAAGAGAACAATTTAATTACCGTATTATTTCGTAATGCATTGGCTAGATATTGTGCTCCTTGATCACCAATTTTATTGTAAGAAATATGTAATTCGGTTAGTGTCTGTATAAAATAAGGTCTACATAGCGTAATATAGATAAGAAAACAGATTACTGTATTAAATTGTAAACTATTAGCTATATATGCTGCTCCTTGATGTCCAATTTCATTGTAGGAAAGACTTAACGTAGTAAGTGTCTATTATAAAGTGATAAGATACGGATGGTAAGACAAAAAGAAGAAAGGACAAGCGTTGCAACATTATTAGATTTTAGAGAATCAGCCAAATATTGTGCTCCTTGATCTTTAATTTGATTATACCAAAGATTGAGTGTTTTAAGCGTCTACATGAAACGATGAAAAAATGATGTACTAACAAGAAAACGACATTTGGATATTTACTCGATTGTCTTTTAGATTCTTGGCTATATATTTTGCTCCTTCATCACCCATTAATCTGTCTCGTAGATCAAGATTGGTACAATTCTATTAGAAACGAAATAGCAAGAATATAAGAAAGGAATCAAAACAGATATTTTGAATTTAAAAAAAACCGTAAGAGCAAGGAGTTAGTATATTATTTGTTTAAGTATTCAAACTTATAAAGAAAAACAGATAAGTAGAGTAGTGAAGTCTGATAAACTATGCTAATACATTTGTTATTAACATACAGTGACTATGGTTTACCAGATCAAAGAAAAACGTCTTCTTTTGTTCCAATAATTTTTTATTATTGCATGAAGACTTTGTAATTGGTTGATCCTTTTGTATGGTTAAAGGCTGTGTTCGTTTAGCTTGATCTACAGCATGCTTTTGTGTAGATTCAGCTAATGGTTCAGTTAATTGCCGTGTTGGTTTTGTCGACAATATGACGGTCTCTTGTACTGGGTTATTTTGCGATTTTATAGAATGTAATAATGTTTTCTTCTTTGTTGGTATTTCGAGAAGTTGAACCGAATTATTTGAACGTGCGATAGGCTGTAACACTGGTTTAGCTAACGCAGCTAGAGAACGCTGTACTGGTAAGAGAGTTGGTAATCTTTCTTTCTGTAATTTGGGTATCACTAAGCTTGCAATAGATGCTGGTGTATACGATGTTACATCCGGTATAATATTTTTAGATGGTTCAATAGGATTAATCAGAGGGTATTTTGGTTGAATTTCTTCTAGTTGAACTACAAAAAGGTCACTGCCTTCACCCAGATAGCCTATGACTTTGAATTGGCTAGCAGGAAAAAGTAATACTTCGTCTTCCTCTGGGTAAAATGTGTGATTTCGAATTTTTTTGCCAGAATAACAATCGATGGTAAATAGTGTTCTTTTTTCATTTTTGCCTAAATATCGTTCATTATCAAGAACATTAAGAGACGTTGTACATGATGAAAAAGCCCACCATACAATTGTATTTTCTGTTTTAATTTCGGCGCTTAGATCCCTCTTTACACCACGGTATACATGAAAACGTTTTGATTCAGATGGAAGTTTGGCTAGTGCAGTCATAATCAGTCGAAGATAAGAAAACCATGGCTTCAGTAGTCCTCGATCAGTTTTTAGTAAAGTGGCATTAAGAATAAAGTAGAAAGATTGATCTCCTGGATGCCATTCCATCGAATACAGAAAGATTGAAGCTGATTCATCCAGTGTCAAACCATCTTTTGGTGAATGACAATAGCCTTTCACTCTTTGAACCATAATTTTTACATTAGGCACGAGAGAAACAAGAGGCTTGACAGCTTCTTCGAGCGAAACGAGAGACACGTTTTCATAGCCTTGAATAGGTTGCAGGATTTCTTTTGATTTGATATCCACATTGCAAAAACGAGAAGTACCCATGAATTTATTGACAGGCTTGTCAGCCATACTTGAAAGAAAATGAGAAACAAAAATATTTCTCAATAACAAACAAAAATCTGTCATGGTGTCGTCAATGAGTGCCTACAGTTTTGTCGACTACAAAAAATGTTTATCGAAAATTTGTCGAAAAAAAATTTTTTGATTCGACAAATTTTATCGACAGATTTACTATAGACATTTTTTGTAGTCGACAAAATTGATGTTTCCCGTCGTCAATAATCGAACAAATGTTTGGTTCAACTGCAATCAGATTTTTTTTCTTTTTAAAGTTGCTCAAAAAAATTTCAAGACGAAAAAGTAAAGATCTTAAATGATCTTCATTGTAAAATATCAAGTTCATAAAAGTTAGAATAGTTCTAAAATCTTTTGATGTCATGCTAAATCTAAACTGCATTCGACTAGAGATGTTTTTCCTGAGAAAAACTGACCGCAAGAGGATCACAGAGCAAAATTTTAATAAAATATGGTGGCGGAGCACAACAGGTAGTTTTTCTTCACACGAAAAAAATTCCCTAAAATGTATTTGATTTAATGTAGTTTTTGATGTTGATTCCAAATGTTACATTTATTTTGCTTTACAATCATGTTATGGCAATGAAAACTACTAAATGTATTATGTTCAATCTAAAAATCATCAAAAATCACTATACAGGAGAGAGATGTGAACCGTGTTTCACTCGGAACATATCATTTTGTAGAGAATAGAATGTTACACAGTATATATAAAATTCAACTTGGAGTTCTCTGATTTTGGATCTCGACAGATGATAGATTGTTAGAAAGTGAACATCTTAGGCTAATCACCAAAAACATTTTCCAATCATGTTGATCTTATAAAACTTAAGTTAGTTGATATTATATTTTCTTTAAATAGCTCATTTTGTTCAGTTTTTAATCCTCTATATTTTAGTATAATGAAAAAAAAAATTTGAATGATTCGTTGAAACGAAAATGAGCAAAACTTTTACAAAGCATTTTTCTCATAAGAATATTATGATGGAAAAAAGTCGGTATTGACTAACTTTTCAAAGAAAGGCTATCGGAAGCTAAAATTTTGGAACTCGTTGTTTCAGACATCGATATATTGAATGCACGAAAAACAAAATCTGCTTTTTATCGAGTACCTCGTATGCTCGACAGTCTTATGATTCGTCTCTTAAATATTATATGTGATCTTTGACTTAACCAAAGAACATTTTTTTTTCAATGAATATTCCATTTCAGTGAAAATTGCTAAATTTTCATGTAATAACAATTTTTTATGTTTAATTTATTTAAAATAATGAAGGGAAAAAGTACTTTTGATCACCAAAAAACAATACTTTTGATCACCATTTTTTCATTTCTATTTTCATGATTTCTTATTTGATGTAAATAAACGTTAAAAGTGTAAATCTGTAAGTTCTGTTTTATGTGCTTAAAGTGAGTTCGATTTATTCCGTACACACTTGACACGATGTATATCAGAAAACGCTTGGAAACAAACAAAGAACACGAAAAGAACGAGAAGAGAGGACGAAAAATAGATCTGACTGTATAGATGATGATATTGATCTATATTTAATAAACATATTGTATAAATCCAAGTAGAAAATAAAGAAGTAGAAGGATCAATTCAATATCGAGAATAAGATGAATACTTGGAAAATTCCAACATAGCCATAGGGAAAATTTCTATATTAACAAAAAGTAACGTCTCCTTCGTATTCAGGGTGTGGGTGTGGGGTTGTGAATCGCTCTTTTAATACTCATATCTAAATCCACACCCAAGTTGTAAATAGGTCTTTGTGATTTTTTAATACGTTGTTAATAGTATACAGACTTTTCTTATTGTGAATGTTGCATTATTTCAGAAATAAATATTTTGAAATGAAGAAACTAAAAAATGGTGACCACAAGTATCCAAAGAGTTGTGGTGATCAAAAGTATCTTTTTTTCGTGATTAGAAATATTGTCACCCATTAATTTCAATGTTGGAACCTTACATGATGATCAACAATTCTGAATTCAATATAGATTTTTTTATCTAAAATTCTCACGAGTATCGAAAGAGTTTTCCTATCTTTTGAAATTAATCTTAATTAATCAACTTGCTAATCTAAACTAAGAGAAAAAGTATTTAATACATATATCTCATTTCTTCTTGCATAGTAGAACGATTCATTAAAAAAATCTTAACTTTCTTTTAACGATCAACTTGATGCATTAATATGAATAGCTTTTACGTTAATCTTGAGTTATTTTTCTTCTAGATGTTCGAACATGATTTAAATCGACGAATTCGATCCGGCAAGGAAAAAGACAAAACAAAAAATTCTGAATGTCCAATCAATTTCAATTTGGCTGTTAGTTTGTTTGGTTGATAATAATGTGTTTTCTTTTCTTTTATTTCAAAAGAATAAAAACAAAACATTCTTTCAAAGCACCTTTCATTGCACAGGAAACCATTAGCAAGAAGCATATTAAGATAGGACATTAGTTGAGATCTGACAGTTAAAAAAAAGCAAAGCAAAATTCATTCTCAAATTTAAGGTTTAGCTCGTCGATGAACTTGAATAAGTTTTGATTTCTTCACAATTTGTTTTCCATTTCCAAATAATTTATAATATTCTAATAAAAGTTCTTTCCAATAAAGTTCAACATTTTCCATAGTTAAATAATTCCAAATAAAATCTCGTCCTTGTCGAGTAATTTTTCCAACTAAACGATCATTATTTTGAGCAAATAATAAAATATTTTCTACATCATATAAATCAGTTGTTATTGGTATATAATGATACCAAGGTTCAAGACGATCATAAAAAAATTCAATCCAATCTGAACCAACATGTATAACAAGTGAACCACATAAAAATAAATGACGTAAACGAAATGATGCTGCAACACCACGAAAATTAAATAAATATTTAAATTTACAAAATGCTTCATGTTTTAATTCGTCGGCAGGTGGATAACCTAATGTATCTTGATCAGATTTCCATGCTTGATTTTTTGTATATTGTGCATCAAGTAATTCTGGATGATTACGAGATAATAAAACTAATGGATCACGTTCAGATGATGTTCTTGAACCACGAAAAAATCCACGAGATTCTTTTTTAGACCAAGGAATATCTTGTCGAGCTTTATTTAATGTTTGTCGCATTATATCCCAACGACCAATACCAGTTGGATAAACACTACCTAATGCTGGTCCACCGTCCCAAAATGACCATGCTGGATAAAGAATATCTGTATCACGAGAAAGTAAAGATTTACTAAATGATAAAATTGGAATGTTAGGTTGACTTTGTGGCCAATCATATGTATTTATTAAAAATTCCATATCAGGCAAAGAATCAATAATATTTAAAAGAAAATGTTCTATGCCATAATTACGTGCTGGAAATATTAATTGATCTTCTGTTTGACGATATAAACGATGATTAATTATTTGATAAAGCGTAAGACGATGAGTTTTAGCAATAGATTCCATATTATTTAATTGCTTTTGAATATCATTCATTGGTTGATTTTTCCAATAAGAAAAATCCAGATCAATTTGATTATGAAATATAGATTGGTTATTGCCATCTGTTTGATTTTTATGATTTTCTTCAGCTTTTTCAATTAATTTGATATATTTATCCCATTTAGATGATTCAGTATATAGATCATTTTCTTCACGAAAATATTTTTCTTTTTCATGAGTAATATCACCTGATTCATATTCAAGTGAAGAGTCTATTTTAGGGAGTAATAATAATAGATAAACGATAACATCAACATGTACGTTTAAGAGACCCATTCTGAATCATAGATGTTTGAATAGTTCGTTTACATATTTACATATGCATATTCACAACATAAGTATTAATAAAAGTGACATCTATTGAAAAAAAAAAATATTATTTTTTTTCAGACTAATCTTATATATTAAAAATCCTTTTCAAATATAAATTATTTTAAATATAACTTCTAATAATTTCTTATGATTTTAAAATCGAAATCATTTTCATTTGAAGATAATTTGCTTTTATCGTGATTTTTTCATTCTCTCTCAGTGTTGTTTTCGTGCATCAATATATTTATTTATTTATTTATTTATTTATGAAATTCCGAGATAAAAGAAACCTAAGTCATTATGGAACCTATCTTGCATATTTAGAAACCTATTTCACCTACTTACACAAATAAATCCAGCATTGTTTTAGTTTTAGTTTCTTTCAAGGTTTATTTTTATTTTATTTTTATTTATTATCGAATGAAAAGAAAAAAAAAAAAAGAAGAAAACTATTATATTTGTTTTAGTTACATTTTTTATTAATTCCTCAAAACCATTTATCAATGCAAGGAGACGAAGCAGAGTTTGAATATACACCAGGTTTATTAGAGACTCCATCGATGATGACGCCAAATATTGTTTTACATGCATCAATGAAATCAGTATTCAATACGGCACTTGCAAATATTCCTAACCCACGTGATACTATGTCAACGTCTAATTCATCACCAGTGCTAACAACTAGTAGTGAGACACAATCACCTATATCAACAGCTGATGTAAAAGTATCAAAAATAGAAGATGAACTTAAATTGAGTTTTTCTGAACCACGTAAACCAACACCATCACCATTTCAAAAAATGTCTTCAACGAATGTTTTTAATTTGGATAAACCTCCTACTGTCATAACTAATGATGATGGAACAACAATTGAAATACCATCAACAGCCGATGTAAGAAATCTATATATATATAATATAGATTTTATGATTAATCATTTACGTTGGTGTTTTTTTTTAAATGATTCATTTTTCGTCTATATTTAGGTTGTCAAAGAATTAGAAGCACTTACAAATACAAATCCATTACAATTTCAAGTAAAACTATTGAATAATAATGATAATCATGAACGTGAAATAACAGCAACCATGAACGGTGATAATATTCGTTATGATTCACCTCCAACATTAAATATGGGTATTGTATCACCGAAAAAGAAGTTTCTTATACGAAGTCAATCCCATACTGAACCAATGTCACCAATAATAATTAATAATAATTTGTCTCAATCTCAAAAGCCCAATAATGATAATAGTATTTTAAATTTACAAAATGGTCTTGATGATGAGAATTCAATAGATGATCCTATTGGTAATCATTTTACGCGGGTATCAGATATACCAACAATAGCACATTCTAATAATACAAATATTGATAACAATCAACAATTTAAACCTATCATTGATAATAGACATGAGCATCATCTAAATATACAATTTAAAAATGAACATAATATGATGCCTCATTCGGTTCTTAAACAACAACAACAAATTGTAATTAATTCTAATAATAATAATAATAATAATAATCATAATAATGATAATAATCCCAAACGAACATTTCAATCGACTAATATTGGTAAGTTTTTATTCTCAGAATAGCAATAGATAATCCTTACGAGATGACTGACGAAAGTGATTAATCTCATATTTTGTTCATAAGTAGAAAATCTGCATGCTAGCAAAATCTCAAGAGGATATGGACCCATATCCTCTTAGAGTTTTTTTAGTCCATAGATTGTCTATTAATGAGGAAAATATGGAGCGAATCAATTCGAACAGTTCACTCATTAGACAGATAATCAAGGTATTGACTAAAGTCAGAAATATTCTTTTAATTCTTAAACACTCAATTAGACTTCAAAAAGTTCCAACTGAATTCTATTTGTATATGATGTCATATGAAAAATTTTCCTTTTTTCAAGCATTTATTAGAACATACTGATAACAATAGTCGATCAAATCCAATGATTGAGTAGATCATAGGAGATGGCAAACCCGTGCTATATGTATAAGCCCTAGGAAATTGAATTGAATTCGTTAAAAATACCTTGATAGAGTAAATAACATTTTTTCCAGGCATACTCAATCTGTGTCATTAACACTGATTAGTCTGATATGTGTGTAAGTAGCTTTTCTATTACTCTTCTTGATCTCAAGTCTTCACAGGATTTACTAATTTCGTACTTTGTTAAGTTGAGATTAGAGATGTTTGGAACTTTGAGAAAAAATTTGTCGAGATCAGAACTCAAGTTTATAGTAGAGTATTCTATGGTTTTAAGCAAATTATCTTATAAATCATACGAATTAGAACGTAATTTAAGAGAGATGACTCGAAAAAAAAAGCACTAGACGACGGCTAAATATATAAAGGAAAACGAATATTCAAGAATTATTTTGGATGAGATACGAAATAATTTTGGATTAGTTTTCTCTAGACCGGGACCAATCGTTATTTATCGGCTTTTATTTGTTAAAAGAAATTTTCAAGATTTGCCATTTTGCTCTAGTTAAGAAATGAGAAGATTAGATTTAAGAAGACCTACACTCTCTCTTTCGGATGTTAAAAGAAATTTATTCCTATTTTTTATATAGCTTCGAAGTGACTTCTATCGAATGCCATATAAACAAAAGTTCTTCGTTGTTAGTTAATACTTTTATTAAACGTAATTCTCGAGATCTCTAGCAGAAAAACGCATACGGCGATTATTCTTTATATGTAAAATTCTTTTAATGATAATTTCCAAAGATGCTGAAAGCATCGATCATGGCCCACTAATACCGCTGAACACGACCAGTTTTCGTCGGAGAAAAAAAGTTCTGTAGAAAAGTATGTTTTGAGTTTTTCTCAAAATCAGTTTTTGAATATGAAACGAAGTTTTCTTCCACACGGTACGTTCGGTCGGACTCAAATTGGTGCACATTTTTTTTTTTCTATCTTCAAATTGTTGTTTCTATGAAATTCGAAAGCCTTTACAGAATTATTACCATTGAAGAAATACGTTTTTAGATGATGCTTCCAGTACTTTGCTAGCTCTGAACTCTAGGAACAATATTTTTTGAAAAAAAAACAGCACACTCCAATTTCTAGTTTCATAAAAAAAAACTTAGCTCGAAAAAATGGAGTACAAAGTTGTGCGAGAGAAACATTTTTGGCATTTGCGACTACCATATCTCCTTGAAAGAAGCGTCTAAAAATTTTGAGTCTAGAGACAACTTTTGCTCTACTTATCGAGATCTATCTACCTTAAAAGCTTCATAAGTTTTCATCGAACCATTTTCAAGAAACTACGGCACGAAGGGAAGGTTCCCTGTAGTGCTCGTATAATTATAGTGAAAGTTTTTTTTTTCAAGAACTATCAGTCGTACTTTGTTCTTTAATCGAATTATATTTCACTTTGTAAAAAGCATAATCAAAACAGTGTTTATTTCTCTACTCACTTTTTTTCTCATTGGCGACTAGATTCAAGCTTTGAACTATCATTAACAGAGAAATATGAAATTTTTCTTTACAACTATAGGTTATCTATCAGATTAGTGACTTTTTGTTTGTTTTAGAAGAACATTGCATATTCATCTTTGAAAAATCTTACTAATACAAATGACTGTTGCATATTATGTTCTCTTGCAAATTTATGAAAATCTTAGGAATGATTTTTGAAGGCATTTCGTATACTCGATATAAAATTATTTAATAAACCAGTCGATTTTTATCAGTCTGCAATAATTTTTGAACGTGACTAGATCGAAATTTTTCGATCGGTTCACTTCTGAATCGATGTCTAAAAGAGTTTCAAGTAGATCAGAAGTTTCTATGTCATAGATATACATTCAATGGCAAATTATTTTCTATTATTTGATTTTCTTATTCTCAATTATTAGGTAATAATATTCCAGCACTAACAAAAGCAAATACAATTGTTATGCCACAAGCACCAGTAAATGAGGTGACATCAACTGATCAATTATCAACTGCAAAACGACAACGAACTGCTCCAGAACAAATGAATCCAACAGTTATGAATTTTCGTTCAACATTTCCAACATCAGCAGTATCAGCAGCAGCGACAAATACATTAACATCAACTACGACAACGAATGGTTCCAATGGAAATGGTGGATCTGACGATCAACGTAAGAAACAGATTCGTGATAGTAATCGAGAAGCAGCAAGACGGTGTCGAGAACGTCGTCGACAATATATTGAACAACTTGAAGGAAATTTAGAACAACATAAAGCTCAAATAAAACAATTAAATGACAAATTAGCTCGTGTTGAACGTGAAAATACACAATTACGGGCTATACTTTCTGAAACAAAACTTCTTCATCCAGCATCACGTATTTCAGCGAATGAATCGCATGTTGAGTATGCTAATGTTGTTAATGCAACTGGAATGAATATTAATTCCGAATCAAACCATCAAATTGATGGAAGAACAATACAAAGAAGTTATATTGATAGAAATAATCTTTAGTCTTCCATTATTATTAGTTTTGAACAGTATGTATAAGTATGAGATGATGTTTGCTTTGAAAAAAAAAAGATGAAACAACATAAAAAGGGATTCACAAAGTGTTAAACCGGTTGTATTTTTTCGTTGCTCGTTTTCTCTACAATGTACATTTTCTTTCCGCAAAAAAAATATTTTCTTTCTTGCAGTGACTATTATTATTTTTTTGTTCGTTTTTCCTTTTTTTTTTCTTTTTTCTGTAGTGCTATGCTGTAATTGTACATAAACATATTAAAATAATTCTTTTTACTAACTTTTCCCCTCTATTTTATGTATGGAGCAAAATCAAATCTTTTTTTCTTATTTCGTATGTTTTTATCCTGATAGATCTAAAATATGTATGGCTTGAGCATAGGCACATATACGATGATAATTTTTATTTATCTTTTATGCTCTTGTTTGTTGACTGTCTATTTGCCGTTATACTTATGCACTCACTTTGCCACCAATGCCTATTATATTATGTCTGTTTCTTTCTTTTTTTTTTCTTGCTCTTGGTTGAAATACATTGTTATGTGTATGAATAATAAATTGGAAGAAAACAAATATAATTTTATTTTTTAGATTATTTGAATATTTTAGTTAATATTTATTTCAATGAAGAGTATTGAATAAATGATAATAATACAATTACAAAAAAAATAAAACAATTACTGATCGAGTAATTTTTCACCAAAATTTAATCATGAAAAGATAGTTGCTCAATACATATTGCTAAATATGTAAAATTAGCTTGGTGTATTTTTTTCTGCCAACAATAAAATATTCATCAAGTGTAACAGTCGAATGTCTATCGAGTAGTACTTTACTAAAACAGGTAATTCTTATGAATTGTATCTTTATAGTAAAATATTTCTTTTATATAGATAACGCCATTACCAGTGCAAAATAAATGTCATATGAGTTGTACTGAAACAGAAATGCCAGTAACATGATACGATTAACATTTACACAAAAAATATTAATATTTAACGCCAAAACAGTCGATAAATGTACAAGTTGTCATATTAGCAAAGGGTAAATTATGAATATCTTTTCTTTTGGAATTCAAGATATATTGAGAAACATGTACAGATAGAGATATACTATTTCAATGTCGACTAGATTATCCTCATTCATTTATTCAGAGAATGTTAGGATTGCGAGGAAGATGCGTATAAGATAATGTCTCACAGGGATAATCGACATTAACAATGTCTTGCTAGTTTTACTAAACAATAACGAATAATTTACAATTATAGGGCGAATGTATACATCATTTGCTTGCGCAGCTGCAGCCTGTATTGATTGAATATTTTAATGTCATTACTAATCTACGGTCTTGTAGTTATTCTTTCCAGATTCTTCTTTTTCTTAACTATCAATCAGGAATCTTGTCTGAAAAAAGCCAGACCTTGACTTTCTGACAAGATACATGTAGACCAAATCTTTATTGATTAGGCAACAATTGCTAAACCAGTAAGATTCTTGAATTCTTATTTGAGTTTTTTTTTCTTGAAAATTTTATCTGATTCTTGTGATTCAAGTGTAGCTTCTTTATAAATCAACATGATTATCTTCTACCATTACTGCTTTATGTTGACTACAAGCTTTCAATAAAACGTACACAAAAGTAAAAGACAAGTACAGTAACGAAAAAAAAACCGACATCCCATTTTACATAATTTGTAAAAAGAAGATATGGAGAATATTTAGTGTCTAATGAAAAGACCAAAACAAAGTAATTTTACGCTCAGACTATAAATCTAACAAGTTTATTATTAAGAAAAAACGAGAAACAAATAAATCGAAGCAATCTATCTAAATTAAAAATACATAGCTTTTATAGTTCATTGTTATCATCTTCGTCATCTAAAACTAATAAATATTCAATTATTATCGAAGTTCTTCGTCTTGATAAATTTGTTATTGATTAATTGGATGGCTCTTGTCTATGAAATGGAACACCATTGTAAGCGCCCATAGACATAATAAAATATATTGCAAAAAAAGCCATTCAATTGAACAGAATAAAAATTGACTGTAGTCGTGTAGAAATGAATAGATAACGTTCAAACGTTCTTATTTGAACCATTTCCGACACAGTGGAACATGTGCACCTTTAATTTGCCTTTGATTTTTTACAAAGATTATTCTTTTAAATAAGTTCTTTTAGCTTTGATATATCTAAAAAGTTTGGTTTATTAAGTTGACTATTAATTAAAAAAAGTAATCAGTGAATATCTCTCTAACCATACGAGTGAAAAATCCGAAAACTTTAGAATAAATTCTATGATACAAGCTGTATGTATGATGCAGTTTTCATCAAGATCAGATTCAAAAAAGCTTTTGATAGAGATTTCATTGCCTCAGAAGTTATATACATTTAGGTTTCAAAATTGCTACCTCTATTAGGAGTGTTTTTTAAACTATAGTGTATAGAGTCAAAATCGATATCCTTTCTAACGTTGGTTTTATACTAATAACTTCTCTGAACAACGATCACTAGAGTAACTTACGATACATGTAACGTATAAAAATTAACTTTAGGAAAGTTCATTATTCAGATATACACATATTTTTATTTTGCAAAGTAATGTCACTAGAGAATTATTTTGCCTATATACAGGGTATTCCAAAATTGTAGAATCTTCTAACGATGAAAAATGGAGCAAAATGCCGAAAAATATAGATCCTTTTGAGATCCTTGGTGAAAAATTTTTTCTAAGCTTCGATAAGGCACACATGTACATAACACAACAGTAAAAGTTATGATTAAAAAAGGATTTAGATTTTTGACATTATACTTTCAACATTTAGCCACCAAACCCTACCAATATTGTCGAAAAATATATCTATGATTTTAAAGAGGTCATGTCAGTTATTTCTTAAAATTGAATATAGCTTTTTCGACACTATGTATATAGATTCCTATAGTTTTGGGATACTCTTTATACGTATATGTGTATATTAGAGTTCAATGGTTCCAAAAAACTTGAATACGAACCGTTAAATTATCAAATAGATACAAAAATTCTTAAGTCTACATCAAGAAATCTTCATTTGTTCATAATTGAGATAAAAGACTTCAGTATATATGCCTAATATTGTTTGATTTCAGTACTGAAATATGTAGCGTGAACAATTCAATAGTGAAAATGTCTCAAAATATATTTAAAATTTTCGAATGTATCAGCTGATTTAGTGGTTTCAATCCAGGTGATGTTTTGAGAATTGAGCCAGAACAAATTTTTTCTCAATTTTAGTAACAGGAACCAATTTTTTTTCATTTTGAGTCATCGGAACCGCACTCCGAACAGGCATTCCGGTTCCGGGTAATTATTGGAACCACCAGATTCTAGTGTACATAAACATCACGCGCTACTACTTGTCTTGAGAGTCACATAAGAGTCTCTTGTTCGAATAACAAAGAAGTTTGTCTAAATTTCAAGTGAACTTAGATATTCTTTCCATGTTCTTATTTTTCTTTTTTTGGTATCAATAAGACAAGATTCTTTTATCTTGAAGCTCAAGCAAGTATCAGTTTTCTTTCGTGTTGAAAAGAACCTTGTTTGAGCTTCAAAATTAAAAAGAATCTTCATTGTTTAATCAAGGAAAACAAGAAGCTAGAAAGAACGATGTTAAGAACATTGACTCGTGATGGACAATCAGAATGTTCAACTAGTAATGATGAACATAGTTGTCATTGTATGCTATTAATTTATATGAATAAAATGATTTAAAAGAAGTTTTTATTTTAGGTTTATCTTTATCAATCATTGTGATTGTACTTGTTACATTGGCATTTCTTTTTTTTTATTTATATTTTTATCAAGAGATAGTTTTAAAAAAAATGTAAAATGTTGTTATTCTTATGGCTTTAATTTATATGAAAGCTTTGGTTGGTTGCTGTTGTCGTACTGAATATTATTCGATTATTCTTATTGTTCTCATTTTTTGGGAAAAAAAGTTCAATTGAAAGTAAAGTTTTTCTTTTTTATTGAATTTTAAGAAGTTCAAATAGCTCTTGTTATTGATGAAAATGTTGGCCGTAAGAATCATCCTACTGTTCTATGTATGACAGAAGTTTTATCTCAGCAATATAGTGAATTAACACCATTGATTATTGATTTAACGAAATCTGTTTATCTTCGTCTTGAATGAAACCAGATGCGTAATCGATTCAAAAGAAAAAGAAGGTCTTCACTTGCCATTTTGGTGTAATCTAGCTGTTTTTTTTTCTATTATGCATATTTCTTCAAAGTTAAATATAAAAACTGTATGTTGAATAAAAAAAAATCCAAACAAAATTTATAAATAAAATTCACATCTATATATTTAAATATTCAATCAATCAAGAAATCTTGTTATCATTTTTAGATGATCTTAATAATTAATCTTTTTTTAATATTATGTTTATCGTGTACATTAGCCAAAGTGACTTATTGTAAGAACATCTTTTTTTTCTAACTATTACAATACCACTTTCTTTAAAATTATTTCTTCTTTTTTTTTTATTTTAGTTAATCTTGAAAATATCTATGGACCATATTGTAATTCAAGAAATGTATATACACCTGATGCAGGTGTTGTCCGATATGCTGGGTATGTTTAAAAGAAAATCTTCTTTGAATTAATAATTTTGTTTATATTCATTTAGAACTCCATGGACCGGTAAATGTGAATTGAATTTACAAAGCTGTTGCCTTCCGACTCTACGCAATTTATCTCATATTGGTAATTTATCGATTTCAACAAGATTTTATATTCGTCTACTTAAACCACCATTGTGCCTATCAGAAGATGTGACTATTGTATCTGAATCCGGTGAAAAGGTAATTAAAATAAAATTTCTAATTAGAAGTGTAAGCTGATCCGTAGACTGATGACTACTATATTTTCAAAATTTTCTTTTAATTACAAATAATTTTAAAACGAAAAAGAGTGACAAAGGTCTTATTGACCAGAAATCAAACAGTAACATCTTCAAAACTTGATTTAGACCACTAAAAATTCTTGAAAATTTTGCGACAACGCGATTCAATCGGTTGATCGTTAATGTCCGATGTGTCTTGAAAGTTCTGCGGCTGACGCCGGCAGCAATTCAGTCGATCAGCTTACACTTGTATGTTCAATTATAATTAATAATGACATTTTTGTTTCGTTTAAGATTTTTATTGATTGTAATGTGACAGATGGTAGTGAATATTATCTAGATACTGAAAAATTAACAATAATTTATGATCGAAGACAAAAATTTCCTCTATCACCATTTTCAATGGTAGTTACACCACTAAAAATAAAAACACGTAAGTTTAGAAATATAATTTTATTGAAAAAAAAAAAAAACAAATATTTTCAACTTGTAGGAATGTATACATTGTGTGGTTTTGATTGTTTTACGGACACGTATTGTATTGATCGAAGTCTTCTTTGTGATCGTTTTCAAAATTGTCCGAATAATGTTGATGAAGCTCACTGTGAATACCGTGAGTTTTCTTGATTTATTTTATTCTATTGTAATTTTTGTTTTGTGTGTTATATGATTTAAAATAGATCATAATCAACCTGCATTATCATTGCAAGCTAAAATAATTCTACTTGTTATTTTATTAATGATCATATCATTTGATGTTTTTTCTATATTGATTTGCTATTTTTGTTGTGGAATTTCAAATCAACATCATCATACTGTGAAAGACGTAAAGCGAAGTACGAAGTTTTTTTTTTATACTTTCATTAAAAAAATTAAAAAAATCTGATTTTTATTTCTTTATATTTAGCTCCTGCAATTTTAGAGGAAGGTGCTGCTGTGACTCCACTTTTGCAATCAACAATTTCTAATGACAATAATCAATCTCATTGAATGAACAACGTCTTATATTTAGTTTTTTAGTTCCTGTGCCAGTTATTTTTTTTTTCTAGTCATTTTTCGCCTTTGTTTTTTTAGTAATAATCAGACATTTATTTTTTATCGTTCAGATAAAATAGATTTTACACATCAGTTTGTTTTTTTCAATATTTTTATTCATCTTATTTATCATATGTTTTTATTTATCTATGAATTGAATGCATTGAAAAGACATAGATTATATAAAAACAATTCTGTCCGACTATATTCGTCCGAAATGGTTTACAAAAAAGTCATCATTAAACTAATAAGATGAATAAAAATACCAAAAAAAGAAAAAGAAAGAAAAACCTCTTTTGTTCGATTTTTATTTTATATGTATTGGTTAAGATGAAGAAGTTTTTCAATAAATTGTCGAATAAATAATGGTTCAGCATCACTATCAAATCTCATTATGGGATGTCCATTTGAATCGACAAGAAATTTTTCAAAATTCCATCGTATATCATCTGAGTGATGTGGCTCATAAAAAATTCTTGTATGATCTTCAAAAAATTTTTTTGTTGATGGTATACAAGATTTTAAATATTCATATAATGGATGTTGATTTTTACCATTGACATCAATTATCCAAAATAAAGGAAATTTTGGAATAAAATTTTCTCCTGGTCGAATATATTTTAAACCATTTAATAATTCATCTTTTGTTTCAGCGGGTTCTTGATAACCAAATTGATTACATGGTATAGCAAGAATAGTAAATTGATTTGTTTTAGAAAATTCTTCTTGTAATGCATTCAATTGTATATATTGAGATGTAATACGTCAATATGTTGCTACATTAACAATTAAACATAATTGATTTTTATATTTTGATAATGATTGTTTTTGTAAATCAAGATCTTCAAGTTCAAAATCATAAATAGTACGTGTATGCTCACATGTACGACAACGTGCAAATGGTACACGATTATTTTTATCTTTGACTATCGAAGAAAAAAAAATTGAGTTTGTTTGATTAAAAAAAAAAAGAAGACATTGTTTGTTTACAATATTTTATATCAAGTCCAACTGTTGAATAATGTTTAAGTAGATTTGTAATGAAATCTCGTTGTTGTTGTAGACTTTTCTGATGTTCGTTGTTATCATTTGAGTTTCTACCCTTGACCGTAGTGGTAGGTAACGACGTCATTTATTTTTCTTCACTCTTCTCTTAATGCAAAGCAAAGGAAGGGAGAAAAAGAACGAAAAGAAATTTACATGAAAATAAAAGAGACCCGTAGCAACGCAGTGATTATTTATTTGCTTGTTTAGATAATAATGTCTTATCCACCATTTGAATTAGGCAAAAGCCGTTATGATCTCGTAAGATTATTTTTAGTCAATTTTTAATCAAATTAAATCGAATATTTAATTAGAATACTTATTGGGGACGATTTTTACATTTTATGAATATTATTGATCCAAGAACATTATTTGTTGACAATGTAAATCAAATTATTAGTATTTACATAGGTAATAAATTTTTTTTAAATTTTTTTCTTAGTCTAAATTAAACCAATGTCGTCAATTACTCGAACAACATCAATCGAATGCTTTACCACCAGGTACTACTGACAAAGATTTATGGGAAGCACAAAAAGTCGTACAAGTTGGGTTTTATTTTATTAATATTTTCTTTTTCTATTATTCATATTTTATAAATTTATTAATAGGCTATTCTTCATCCTGATACAGGACATAAAATCTTTATGCCGTTTCGAATGGCAGGTAAGATTTCTCTTTAATAAATTTCTCTTTATTAAAACCAAAAAATAAAAAAATAATAAAAATATTTGTTAAATTTAACATTAAAAAATTGTTTTTTAAGAAAAAAAAAAAAAGAGAAAAGTCAAAATATGATTTAATTTTCTTTTTTCGAAGCAATATATCAATTGATATTTAAAGTAAGACCATTGATTATGTGAACACCTTTTGTTTTTCTCAATATATATCCTTGCAGCATGATTTCTATTCTTATCCTATCAAATGCAGAGACCTTTCACCTATATTTAACAAATATTTGCCAAGCATTTTTAAACAATCTTTTATTTATTTTATTGCTTTTTTTTTAAATACATTTTTTAGTTTTCTCTTCTTTAAAGGATATGTTCCCTTTGGCACACCAATTGTTGTTGGTCTTCTTCTGCCAGATCCAACACTTAAGCAAATTATTTTTTGGCAATGGCTGAATCAAAGGTATATAAATTAATTATTTTAAAGAACACATAATGGAAAATTGAAGTGAATTATATTATTCATTGGTTTATATATGGTTTAATAGAGCGTGAAAAGTTGCTTAGGACTATATACTTTTTATTTTAATTAGTTTACCATTTTGTTATAAAAAAATTTCAGTTACTGATAAGACTACAGATAGAATCGAAATCATTATTTTTTTCAAAACAATTCTTAAGTTTCTACAATCCTTTTTTCTAAACTTTTTGACGATAAATTTTTTTTTGATTCCACATCAAAAGCGAAGTAATATAAATATTAGTTTCTTAGATTTAAAATAAGTAACGTTAAAAACTGTTATCAATATACGTAGGCTTATAACATGTGCGCATATGGCAGCAGTTCTGTCGGTCTATTTAATTTTTTTTATGACAAAAGATAAGATCACAAATGTCTTATCGCATTTAAATCGGCTGATTTCAAACCACAAAAATACACATTTAGATTTGTTTTAGTTTTTGTTTTATTGTTGAAAAAATCGAACATTTTCTCGTCTTAACAGTAAAACGGTCAAAAATGACCTTGTTTATTATAGTTTCTCTTATCAAAATTCAGCGGAAAAACAAAAAAAAATATTACACTCAGAATCGGCGTGAAAATCGACACTAGATTAGATACATTTTAGCAAGATTACTTTTACATGGAAAACGCACTTATACTTCTACTCGATAATTTTCTTCTAAAATTTTGCCTGCAGCCGACTTTCCATTTGACATAGCATTTGCTGAAATGTATGTGAATCACCATAGATTCTCTTGTTGATGCTGACTATGGTAGTTAATTTGTTTATCAACTGAGTTTTTATAATAGGAATTGCTATAAACAAGGTCATTTTTGATGCTCTCACTATTAAAACTAGGACATGTTTGATTTTCTCAACAATAAAACAAAAGCTAGAAAAAATCTAAATGTGAACTATTGTAATTCGAAACCAACTGATTCGAATGAGATAAGGTGTTTGAGGTTTTATTTTCTGTTATAAAAAAAAACTAGATACGTTAAAAAAGTGCATATACTCATATGTCATAAGCCTATGTGTATTGATAGTGGTTTTTTACGCTATTTATTTTAAACCTAAGAAAATAATTTTTTTCTACTCAATTTTTCATGCTAAATTTAAAAAATATTTTTAAAACTTTCGAAAAAACATTATAGAAACTTAAGTATTGTTTTTAGAAAAAAAAATGATTTTTAGTTCTATCTGTAGTCTTATCAGTAATTGGAGCATTTTGCCCCGAAAGAGTAATCTAATTGAAATAAAGAATATATATTCGTCAGCAACTCTTCAAGCCCTATCAAACCACATATAAATCAATGAATAATAAAATCCGCACTAATTTTTCACTCTGTGCATCTGAAAAAATAAACAAAACTTTTCAACCACGAAGTAATGTTGATCATTTAGTCATAATGCTGGTGTTAATTATTCAAATCGAAATGCAACACAACATACACCTGTTTCGAAATTTGTTATTGGATATTTAAGTGCAGTTACTGTTTCAGTTTCGATTGCTGTAAGTGATTTATCTGTTTTCACATATCTTAGTATCTTTATATTGTCAGGTTGGTCTTACTATGGCTATTCGTCGAGCAAAATCACTTCCACCAACACTTAAAACAATTGTACAACGATTTGTTCCATTACCTGCTGTCGGTAAGATAAATAACATATCTTTAAATGATATATGATTATTCAGTAATCGCTCGGTTTTTTTTTTTTTGTTCAATGAAAAAACATAATAAAAAGATAAAAGCAAATGCAATGTTTTGAAAAACATTATTCGGCTTTTTTTTTTTGTAATACATGTACAAATCTCAAAAAAATATGCTTGTTTATATTTCATTCTAATTATAGCATGTGCAAGTACATGTAATGTTCTTTTTATGCGTTTTCACGAATTATATGATGGTATCGAAGTACTTGATGAAGAAAATAATTCAATAGGTGTATCAAAATTAGCAGCTAAAAAAGTTATTAGATATTTTCATTTAATAGAAATATCCTATCGAAATAAATGTTTATTAATTTTTATATTTAGGCTTTAACTGAAATGGCAATGACACGTGCTTTTTTGCCAGTACCAATTCTTTTCTTTCCACCTGTTATAATGTTAGCATTCGAAAAGTAAGATTCTCTTTTTGCTAATGTAAACAAACTAAGAAATTAAATAATTAATTAATAGAAATATACTTCGTCGTTTTCCACGTCTTAATTTACCATTAAATACTCTTGCATGTACAATTTCGTTTGGTTTAGCATTACCTATGTCAATAGCATTATTTCCACAAAAATCTAAAGTAAATATTTGATTCTTTGTTTTTTTTTCTCTGACAAAGTTTTATTTTATTTTATTCTATTCAATAGGTGGCTATTGGTGAACTTGAAAAAGAAATTCAATCAAAAACACAACTACCTTATGTTTATTATAACAAAGGACTATAAAGCAAAACTCAGTATTAATTATTTATGCTTCACATTTATTTCAAAATTAATTTTCTTCCGATTTTCTTTTTTTTTTAGTTTTATTAGAGTTACAAGCTAAAATAACATTTACTCACTTTTTCGATATTCTTATAATTGTGTATTAATTTACTAAAATGGATTATTTCGAGTAGAATTACTAATTTTTGAATTTTTATTTAATAATTTCTCTAGGGAAAGATGTTTGTTGTCAGAGAGCGAGCGGAATCCGATGAAAAGTTTTCGGAAAGTGATTATCACGATATAAGAGCACGGACAAGTGTTGAGTTTATTATGAATAAAAAGAAAATTTGATATTTGTTCATTTATTTATACTGTCTCTATTAAACTCACTTTCATCTTACAAATCTTCGTGAGTTTTGTGTTGAATATTGATAGACACTTGCATGTTAACAGTTGCTTTTATAGACGCCTTCTCATTTTTTCTCACTTGGGATTTACTTATTTTGCGATTAGTTTGAATATCTTGTATTACAAATAATCAGTCATAAAAACCATAGAATCTCGGAAAATTTATTCGTTGATCAGATTATATAGTGTTATCTGTACTGATCATTTGAGTAGAAAAAAAAACTTTTAATTTCACAAATAAATGAGAATGAAAAGGTTAAAATACTGAAAAATCTCAAATAAATCTGTCTCTATTCAGCATTTTGACCTTGAAACTGTCATTTATTTTTCGAATTAAATTTTTTCTTTTAGTCAAAACAATCAACGTAGATAGCTTCGTAGAGTTTGATAAACGAATAAATTTTCGGAGAGCTTTTAGTGTTTATGTCTGACTACTAACTGGACAGTATAGTGTGATCTATCTGTAGGTTACATTCCCGTGAATATGTTAATTAGGTATTAGTCTTATGTAGAAAAAAATTTTCAATAAAATCAATATTTAATATGGAAAATAAAATTATAAAACGTTGCTTTTGTTTTCGAATTGTTTAGCTAGGAATAGTAATGTTTTGTTATTTGTACTATTATTAACACTTCTGGTTATCTAATTGGTAAGGTAAGCTTCATATCTAATAGGATTCTATGTAACAAGAAGAAAGTTTACTACTTGATCTTATCAGAATGTTGACAAATCAAATGATAATTATCAAATAGATCAGAACAAAAAAGCAAACAAATGTAATAAGTTATTTTTAAAAATTCTTTTTTTTTCAGATAAAAAATGTCATTCTTCAATTTGACTTTAATGGGTTATGATAATCGTTTTAAATCTATGAAACGTCTTGAACCAACAAGTACAGAACGTGATTCAAATGAATTAAGAAAAGTTCCAGTAACAGGTCAAAGTAGAAGTGCTGTTGAAAAACAATTAGCTCGAGAATTAGCTGGAGATGTACAATCACGCGAATGGACATCACCTACTATATCAAATTTGTAAGAATTTAATTAGCTAATAAAATAGAAAATTATTTTAAATAACTAGAAATTATCATACTCTACGTCAAATGCATGTACGTGGTGATCAAAATCCAAATCAAATAATGAGACGTCCAATGACAGCTGCTCAAGAAAGTAAATGATTGAGATTTTATTTTGTTTTTTATAGAATCTGTTTGTATTGTATGATTAGTTGGCTGGTGGACGAATGATGAACCATTAAAAGTAAAAGAACCATGGACTCAAGAAAAACGTCATGTTCATGCACAATCTGAAATGACTAAGTGCGATATTTGAAGAATTTTATCGAATTTGTATTTTGTTTACTATTATTTTTATATTTTAGATTTGTCGATGATATGGTCATAACAGATCGCTATTTTCGTCTTTTTTAAATTTTGTTTTATAATGAATGACTTTTTTCTCTAATCCGTCCACTAATTATAATGGGTGACTTATAAAGAATAAACCTCTCATTATTTTGTATAAGTCTCGATAGCCTTTTAATATAACGGAACAACTTTTTTTTTTTGATAGATTCACAATACGTTACGTTCAAAGCTCTTGTTGCTATCAATAGTTTCGCATTGAATTTCGTGAATGATTTTGTCAGTCTTTGTTGTAATCGTAGCGAACTTCGATCAATTATCAGCTCGAAAGTAATTCTAATGAAGTCTTCAGAAGAATTGAAGATTTAATTATTTGAGTCAATAACTATTATTATTAATTTATAAGATAGAAATCAGCGTCTGTTTCTTTGAAACTTTGTGCATATGATTATTTCCGACATTCTTTCGCTTTTGATTATTCATGAAGGAATATTGGTTGTTTCCAGTATCTAGAAGAAATTACTCCTATAGTTTGCTTTTCAAAAAACTCAATATTCTCTTCTACAGTACCAAAAGCGCAATGATATCTTCGATTCTTCTGAAGATTTCATTAGACTTAGTTTCGAGCTAAAAACCGATTGAAGTCTTGCATGATTAAGAATTAAGGCTGGTAAAATCATTCACATCCTTCAATGCAAACAGCTTAATTAGAAAAAAAGAATTCTGAACGTGATGTATTCTGAATCTATGCGTTTCATTGGATGTATAGAAATAAGTTATGCTGTTCCATATTGGTGGAAGATGCAAATTTGTAGAGAATCGAAGGAGAAATCTATCAAAAAACATTATGGTACTATACTGAAAGGCTGCTGAGAAATGTGCAACATACTGAGAGATCTAGTCTTTATGAGCTATCCGTTAATAATAATTCATTTCAGTTTATTTTTTTCATTCTCAATAAATATTTTTTGAAACATTATTTAATTAACAATTTCTCAAATTAATTCTATTTTTTAGTTAATTATGAAAATAATCATATTTGGTGCTAATGGTGGCGTGGGTTCCGAATGTGTTCGACAAGCCAATAAAGATAAAAGTATTGAACATATAACAGCTATTACACGACGTCCTCTCGACAAGAATATGATCTCTGATAAACTTACTAATGTTATTCATGCTGATTTTCTCGATTATAATTCATTATCCAATCTATTTGAAAATCATCAAGCATGTATATGGGCATTGGGTATATCACAAAGTTCTGTTAATGAAAGTGAATATATCAAAATTACACATGATTATACATTAGCAGCTGCTAAAGCTATTGCACATGTTAATCCAAATATGAGATTTCTATTTGTTAGTGGAACGGGTGCTGATTCAACTGAACAAAGTCGATTTTTATTTGGTCGCATTAAAGGTAAAACTGAAAATGATCTAATTAAAGATAGTGGTCTCAAAGAAATTTATACAGTACGTCCAGCTGGTATTTTATTTACACAAACAAATCCAAATACACCTTGGTTTCAACGAGCTTTTGTACCTTTTTTGCATATTTTCAAAGTAATTAAGCCATCATGGGTTATAACATCAGCTGGATTAGCTCGTGCAATATTATATTTAGTAAAAAATGGTCATCATGCAACATTATTTGAAAATCAAGATTTAAGAGATATTATTCATGAAAATCGTTTGATCGAATGATAGACTTTATTTATTATTATATATTGTTTTTGCTTATTGTTTTTCTCTGTCTGTATACAAAAAAAAACAGAGTATTATATATATATATATATATTATATGTAACAGTCGAGCATTGTAAAACGCATTTGTTGTATTAAATTAGAACATAAATGTTTATATATATATAGAAGGAAAAAAAAAAGGAATTCAATTGACAGAAATATATAGAGAAGAAAACTAACCAAACAAAAAAAAAAAAAACAGAATTCCACTGTTCGACAAACAAGAATTAAGTTAAAGAAAATGTGCAAACAAAAGAAAATGGACGAAATTAAGAGAAAAAAAAAACAATAAGAAATGCAGATTAATCATATTTTGATGAATAATCAGAAGAAAAAAAAAAACTCAAGAAATTATTTTTTATTTATTGTACAATAATTAATTCGTCTGTTAACAACTTTGAATAAAGAATAAATAAGTCAACAAAGCTTCACGCTGAAAATAGATATACAAGCTCTGCACAACATACACACACTCGCACATATATTTCTTTCTATTTTGTTTTGTTCATAATTTATTTAAGTTTTGTAGGATTGCCTGAAATGTTCATTGGAAGTGCTAAAATAAACAAAATTATATTTTTTATATTACTTCATTAGTTTCATACATGAATTTGAAAACATCGATTGAGTGTTTTTATTTGTCATCATTGATGATGATGAAGAACCAATATTTGTTGGACTAATTAATTGATTGAGTGGTAAAGAACTTTTTTGAGGATCACCACGTGTATGTGGTATGAGATTATTTAATGATATATCAATTTTTCCTTGTGCTGATGACCAAGTATTCTAAACAACACAGATATTTGTGCATAAAAAACAAAAAGATTTCTTTTTATAAGAAAAAATTTTTCTCATTCAAGAAAACCTGTGTAAGTTATAAAATAAAAGAATGCAAAACAAAATCATATAATTAGTTAATTCACTCCCAATAGTAAGCAGCAAAATGTTATAACATCAAATGATACCTGTTTCTCTACAAGTGTAGGCTGCTGTTGTGTAGCAACTCCAGGGGATATATTGGGAAATGCGGCCTATAAAAAATGGCTGTTTTCTTATTCTCTGATCAATAGTTATATCCTCCTATTCATTTTATTTATTATTGATTTTAAACTTACATTGAATGAGTTAGTATTTGGCTTATTAAATTGTTGTTGAGTTGATGAAAACAACATTGGTTGCTGAAACATTTGTGGATGTACAAATGATTGTTGTTGTTGTTGAGTAGGAAAAACCATTGATGACTGTTGAGTCGGTTGAGAAGGTGTAAAAAATAAATTAAAATCATTTGATAAAGTTTTATTTGTTGTTGGTGGTGGTGAATTCATTGGTTGTAAAAGATTATTTGATGTTGATGCTGTTTCTCCAAATGTTTCAAATGGATCAAATATTATTGCTGATGGTGGTGGTGGTGCTGGTGATACCACTGATACAGTTGTTGCTGTTGGCCAAATAGAAGGTTGTGTTCTAAATAATGATTTGATTTTTATTAGATAAAAATTAAAAAAAGGAAGATTTACGTAGAAATTGGGGATGTCATTTGTTGAGTTGGAATGATTGATGCTTCTTGAAATTGACCAAAATCATCATCAATAGACGATGAAACACCTGTAGCTTGTACATATGGTGTAAAGCCATCATCATCACCTAATAAATCAGCAATAGGAGGTTGATGTGTTGTTTGGACTGGAATAGGTGGAACCATTTGTGTTTTTTTATTTGTTAGTGAAGGCTTAAAAAGTAAATAAAATTTTTGTTTTTTTCTTTGAATAAAAATAATGAGTGAATATTCAATAAACGATCTTTATCATACACATAACATGACTAATTTTTCGTCTCGTTTCATCGACACATTTTATTTAGCAGTATTTTATGAAGAAAAAAAATAGAACTTTGTATTAGATTAGAGAAATTTTAAAATAATAGAACAAAATATTATTGTAATTTTTTATTAACTTTATTAAAATATTCATCAAATGTCAAAGAGCCCTTTTCATATCGTTTGAATAAATCTGAAAAATAGTGTCTTTTTTTTTATTTCGTGAAGATTTTTTCATATTGTTGTCAAATTCTTTCATCGTAACCATATTGAATGCATTATTTTTCTTTAACTCATCAATCACTAGATTTTTGTATTAAGTGATTGATGACAACTATCAAATTTGAATGCATGTGTGAGATTAGAGAAGTTCAATGCCTACATTCATATCTATTAATTGAAAATATTTTTCTATAGACGGTAACGTTCATTTTAATTTAGTTTATTTCTTTCTAAGATTAGAGTTTTTAGTAAAATTCTGCAATTGTTCAGCAACAAAATTTGTCGATGAAATAAAAAAATATTATTTAATAAAAGATCTTTATTATATACATAAAATGACTATTGAATCGAAGATAAGTATATTTATGGTTATATGATAGAATCTTTATTGCTAAAAAATATGAAACAATTTCTCATGAGAAAGAATTATTCATCAGAGTCATATTGTTCATAAATTATTAAAGCTTCAGTTCATCCTTTAATATTCTTGATTAAGTAACAATGTTTTTATAAAAATGTGAAAGGTTGGCGGAAAAGAACAAAAAAAAAAAAAGAAAATTTCTTTTTTTCTTATCGAATATATATTTATTTTCTTCAAATCGTCTTGACATTGCATAACAATCTCTTATCCTATTTATTTTTTAGCTTACTCGTTTTTGAGAAGATACTTGAGTATTATTACTTGGTGTTGGAGATTTTTTCATTTCAAAATCACTTTCCTAAATGTAAATAAATTATTTAATATAATTACAACAAAAAACAAAAGAAAACGAACAATTTATAGATTAAGTTAAGAATAACAAAAGAAAACTTAATCTTAGCATAATTCATCATTATGTGAACAATTAATTGTCAGAGAAAAAACAAAGAATACTAATAACCCCTTTTAAAGCAATTTTATTTACAGTTAATAATTGTATAGCAATAAAAGAATCATTTTCATTATGATAGAAAAATTTCTATGTTTAGTAAAATAAATTTTTGTTGTTGTTCTTTTTCTTGCTCAATCAATTTACCTTTGTTTTACTTCGATATTCATTTGATTGATCTTTCCATGGTGTATCATGATATTGAGTATTCTTTTTAGAATATTGAGTCTCATCATCACTGAAAAAAATAGAAAACATATAAAATGTTGTCAGTGAAAATTTGCTCAGTATATTATGAATGGAAAAGATAATGCATTCATCAGTCTGTTATCAGATGACGCGCATGAAATATATCATCATAGCAAATTTTATTTGTTTCAACAATCACCTTATTTCTGGTGAATAATCATTTGATGGACGTCGTTGATCAAGTACTAATTCTTTAACTTTACTTGCTAAATCTTCGGCTTTATTAAAACTTTCTTCAATTATAGATGGATTTGTTGAACGCCATCGACCGTCTAATTCAACAAAATCTTTTCCTTTTGTTGCTGTTGTTGTTGTTGTATTATTTCCATTATTTGAATCATCATAATCATTCCAACGATCACCTAAAATAATATATATGAAATAAATTTTTTAAATAGCAAATTAAAACTTACTATAACGAGATGATGATGATTCACTACCAACACCAATATATTTATCTCGATTAGTTTTAGCTTTTTTACGTTCATCTCGAAGTCGATCATCATCTTGAATAAATTCAATGATTTCTTTTACCTTATGACGCACTATAAATGAACAATTTTAAGAAAAATTTTCATTTTGAAAAAAAAAAATCTTTTTACCATTAATGCCTTGATCTTTGCCATTTTCATCAGTATAAGCAAAACTTTCTAAACTTTTAAGATCATAAAGATGTTCTCTTGCTGATGTCACAACTTTTTCACTGCCATTTTTTATTAAGTAAAGTAAAACGAGAAGTGACTGAAATAATGAAAAGAACTTGTTGCTATTTTTTTTTTAACACAAGACAATCAACATAAAAACTTCTAGTCTTGTTTGGTTTCTAGGCTATAGTTAAATTCCCATTAGATGAAATGCGGTATGAAAAATTTATACAATGCACATTTTATTACTTTAATAACACGACCATATTTACAGTTGAGTATTTTAAACAACTGATATTTACATAATTATACTTCGTGCATATTAATTGTTTTGACGAAGACTGAATGAATATTCATAAAAAAAACAGCAATTCGTTTTGATTTTTTTCACGAATATCACAATGAAGATTATGAAAAAAAAAATGATGTCGAAGATTTTACATGTACTTAGCGATGTGCAGCGTAAATTGTTTTTCGTAAGGTTCCGGAAATGCAAAATTAAAGCAGATTTTTTTTTCTTTTTTTTTATATATGGTTAGATAGAGCTTGACGAGCTGATCAAGAATATATGTGTTTAAAATTTTTTGGATTGAGTTTTTAGTTAAAAATTCTGAGCTTTTTCCTATGACGTACTGCTTCTAAAAAAAAGAAAAAAAAGTCAATTTTCGAAAACCGCCCAATTTTCAATTATTTTTCATTTGCTTCAAATTCTAAAATTGTTTGTTTCGGATTCGGCATGGAAAACTGAATCTAAGAAAGTCATTTTAAAATGACTTTCTTAGATTCAGTTTTCCATGCCGAATCCGAAACAAACAATTTTAGAATTTGAAGCAAATGAAAAATAATTGAAAATTGGGCGGTTTTCGAAAATTGACTTTTTTTTCTTTTTTTTAGAAGCAGTACGTCATAGGAAAAAGCTCAGAATTTTTAACTAAAAACTCAATCCAAAAAATTTTAAAAACATATATTCTTGATCAGCTCGTCAAGCTCTATCTAACCATATATAAAAAAAAAGAAAAAAAAATCTGCTTTAATTTTGCATTTCCGGAACCTTACCTTGACTGAGAAAAATTTTCTTACCTTTACTCTACGAGGTTTTTGCCTTACTCTCTATTAATACTATCATAGCTGGAAGACTCTAAGTAGAGTCCGTCGGGTTCCTTCCGGACTCGATGTGCTCTACCCAACACATTTCTCAGACGACTCGCTTGATAAATATGTCGAGTACACTTAACAACGAATAAAAGAAACCGGGAAAAAGTATCTCATATCTTCGGGATGGTTATTCTATTCCGATTAGAAAATTTTATTGTAAGTATCTAAGTACAGTTCGACCGGATCCAAAAATTTTGGACTTGACGAACTCTAACTCATAAATTGCAAAATAGTATTACGATAGAGATGGATCGGATAAGCTTTATTTGTATGCTGACTGAGAAAATCTTTCTAACCCTTAACCCCACCCTTCAGGGTAGAGTAGGGTAACCTTGCATGTCTTTAGGTCTATTATTAATTACTACGATACCATCATCTTACATAAATCTTCTTGAAAAATTTCAATAGTCAATTAAGGCTGAATATAAACATAAGAACAAAGACTAATAATTGCCAATATTTTTTTAGTTTGTTTTCAAGAGTACTGAACTACGTACTTTATAAGTTCGTCGCCAATATTTCTTTTCTTGTCCAAAACATCGTTTCCAAAGCATTCCCATCACCTAAAATAATACAAACAAAATATAAATTTAATATTCATAATGTATGATTTACCTCATTATAATGTTCAAATGAATATGAGAGTTGAGAAAGTTCTTGTAATAATTTTCCAGGTGGTCCCCAAGATTCATCATTTGTTGCTTCAACAACTTTTGCTTCTGTTTCCGTATAATTCATAACAATATTTGTTGCTTTGTCAAATAATTCACGAACTTTATAAGGCATTGTAGGTATATAATTACTTAAATTAATTTTACTAAGATCCATCTTTGCTGTTTTTCTTTCTTTCAACTCCTTCAAGTAACAAAAATTTAACAATAAAGGAAGCTTTGTAGATAAGGATTAAAAAACGCAAAAGAAAAAAAACACAGCAAGGTTTATGTCAATGAAATAAAAATTGAAAAGCATAGCATAGGAGGGAAGAAGTACAAGGTGATGGATGACAACACTATCAAGATGGATCAAACAAAGCTGGTAATAGAGTCGAAAGTGATGATGGTGACGAAGACAACAGCCATTCAAGTGGCTCTACGTTAATTATTATTGGACTTATTTTATATTCTATTCATATTTAGATATTTATATTAAATTTTCAATAGAAAAAATTATATATATTGAAATTTAAAATAAATTTTTTAAAATAAAACAAAAATCTATTGTAAATGATGTCGCTAAGAGTAGGTCGAAGTTTATTTCATCATTGATAGACCAATAAAAATATGTATGTTACGACTCGGTTGTTTCGATTATTACTCAACTTGTCATGGCTATTGATCTGAAAGTACGATATTCATCAGATACATTGCTTTTATTAATATCTTTAATTTAGAATCTAATGAAGTCTATTGATCGTCGATATGGAATTACGTATCGTCGTTTAAAACGAAGGTAGGTAAGTCAAACTTGATTGATTTTTGTAATTACATATCATTTGATCATGATATTTCTATCGATTTAGGTTTTAATTAAGTGTTTTTTATCAAAAAAGAAAATATGCATTTTGGAATAACAATCGGCGGTCAATTTTATATTATTCGACAGTATGAATTTCACGATTTATTAGACAACACATAGAAAGGTCACTTTAGACCAATGTTCTTAATGAGAATCTGAAATAGAATGTACGAGTACACTCTATTTTTCAGAACACAATGTAGTCATACATCTTGTTTTGTAGACTGAGGTGTACAAGAGGTACAAAACTGGCAGCTAGCCACAGAAGAAAATTTGTATTAAAATGACACTTATTTCATATTGATGAGCACATGAAGATTTAAGGGTGTGACTCCGAGTATAGAAAAGATCCAGATTCGAGCTATGCTTTCGCCGACACATCCTTGTGCCGCTTGAGTTGCGTTTGTCTAAAATTCATCTTAAGAGAGACATCGATATTATAAAGAAAAATGAACAAGAAACTCAAAATTTGTAGTTATTGAAAATCTTCAGATATATACGAAAACTGAAATTCTTTAAGATGGAGTTTTTTCCTAGTGTTTTTCTTTTCTTGTATCACTTTCAGCTTTTCGAAGTATTATTTCAGTACTCCTTCACATTCAGATCAGGTGATACTACAGGCCATATAAGTAAGCTACGTATACAAGGACATGAAAGATGTGAAAACGTTCCTATCTATGATTCTATTGGACGTGATGTGTTCAGTCTTAATCATGTTGAATCGATAAACTTCTTCTAAGCACAAAGGTACGAAAATCTTTAAAAAAAAGTAAAATGTAAAAAGGAATTTCAGTATGTACAGTCTACATGCTATTGTTTCCTTTAGCTTGTAAAATAGTATGTAAATTTTGTTTCATTAGGATACTGTACACTATGTTTTGCAAGGTACACTCTTTCATTAAAAACACTGCTTTAGACTAACTAAGTTAGTCTGTTGTTTTCTTGACGATGACATCTAAAATCAAAATGTGTCTTTTTTTTGTTTTATTTTTCATTAAGATCTCGACGATCAATTCTATTTTGTGTTATGAGTGCTATCATGATGTTATATCTTTTATTTAAATGGATGCCTCGTCGAGTAGCTTATCAAAATAGTATGTGTTGAAATAATAATAAAAACAAGAAATCGATTAATAATTGTATTTTTTTCTTATTTTATTAGTTCAATATGATGCATGTCTACAAAATAGATTGGAACAGTTTTCGCATGATCAAGCTGAAATGAATACTATTTTTAATCATGAACCAATTCAATATGGAGAAATTGTCAGTTTACCATTTACAGGTTAATATTTTGCTTATGTATGAAAAGAATCTTAATATGAGCAAAAAAAAAAGAGTAAAGAGTTTAAATACAAGAATCATTAAAAAAAATATATATCGTTGTTTATTTTACAGTAAGAGCTATTTAATGTGATTTGTTGAGTTCAAGAGTGGATTAATAGGAAAGGCGATCGCCCCTTCCTTCTTCACTATTTTTCGAGTTTTCTCAATAAAAATTAACCTATACGATCTTTAACTTGACGTGAAAACATGTTTTGTGACTATGCATCCTCCCGTTTTCTCCTCCCACTGCATTCACCGAAATCCTAGATCCACCACTGTGAGGATTATTGTAGAATCAAGAAGCTAATAAGAAAAAGAAATTGTAAGTATTTCTACGATAACTTTCATATCATGTTGTTATTGATATGTAGTGGAATGTAAAGTTTATAATATCAGAGCGTTCACTTGTATTATCATTTTTAAAGAAATTTCATAACAAAAAGAAAACTACTAATATTAGTTTTCTATTAATGAAAAGAAAATAGATTATTGTAAAAGTTTCAAATCTTTTGATTTGATTCTATCCTGAAATAAAAATATCCAATCTACCGTTATATATGAATGATATAAAAGATATGTTTATTATCATAGTTGTATCTTAAGATAGGAGCAACGAAAAGAACTGCAGCATTCATAAGAAACTCTTCTTGTTAAGGACTGGTTCTGTACAAAGTTTCAAATTGAAATTCGAAAATCGATTTTTATATTGTTTTTGACGGATAGAGTTCGACGGTTCCAGAAACAAATTGGAACAGAAACCGGTAAATCATTAGATAGATACGAAAATCCTTCAGTTTATATCAAGAAATCATCATTTTTGAGATTAAAGAAGTTACTATACATGTATAATATCGTTTTCTTTAACTACTGAAATGTGTGATGTCTTTAATCTCAACAACTCAATAGTAAAAATTTCTCAAAATATATTTAAAANACTTTTCCATATTTTCCTTTTCAGATTACATTTATAAGATTCTTTATTTACGCATATCATAAAAATATGGTATCATCATTTTACGTATTACGGCAGCTGTTGAAGACTCCTCAAATGCATCCTCAAAAAATTACTGGTGTACTTAATGATCAAGCATGGGCGCACAACGAATTGGTCGAACATGTCGAACATATAGCGTATCACCTGCACCGTTTAAATGTCGTTCAAGGGCAAATTGTTTATCAGTTTGTAGAAAGAAGTTTAGAGATGATTGCTCGTTTTTATGATATATTGTATGCCAGTGGTGTGTACTGTACTATAAATCCAACAGAACCATCTGATCAGCTTGCTGCACTTTCTGAACAGCTAAAAGGTCAATGTGTTCTAGTAAATGAGAGAACTCGCAGTCAGTTTCCATCGGCAGCCGCTTAACATGTCCTGGTATTGTATGATATTCTTCTGCCACTGCTAGTGGTTGAAGACATGAGCGATCTTTCAGATTGCAAAGAGTATGGCACTGCATATGTCGTTTGTATCTCAGGTCCAATCGGACAACAAAAGTCAATTGTTCATACTTATCAAAGTTTTGCAGCAAGTACTGCAGCTTATACTCAATGGGATTTTGGCTTGTCTACATATCAAGATAAATTACTTCATGTTGCAACATGTTCGTGGATTTTACAGCTAACAGAAATATCATTGTCACTGATCCTTGATAGTACTGTTGTGCTCGTACCACTTGGTCGTCATATGAATATAGACTATGTCTTACGTACTCTGTTTCATCAACAACTAACGACACTCACAGTTCTTCCTGGAATAATTCGAGCTCTCATAAATTATCTCGAACTGAACTAACAACTGTACACATTCAAGTTTGTGCGCAACTTATGCACGATAGGTGACTGAATTTTTTCGTTTAATTACCTAATAATTTGTATTTATTACTTGTTTTTGTTATATTTAGGCGAAGAGGCAAAGCCACAACAATCGGCCCAATTTATGAGCTTTTTAAATTCGTCCAATACTCGAATTTTTGCTCAGTATGGTATGCCTGAGTGCAATAGTGCACTTGGGTGTCATCTGTTAGATGTTACCGATACAGTTATTCCTCTCGGTTATCCGTTACCAGGCATACATTGTTCGGTCGCCAATGAACAGGATGAAATGATTAATAGTCATATAGGCAACCCAAGTAATATTGGTGGAATTCATAGTGGAGGTCAGTTTTATTCATTTCAATAACTATCGAGGACTGTTTTTCTTAAATTTTTCTACCGGATCTGTTTTATTTAACTGTTATTTGAATGATCCTAAGCGTACCACCAATATGTTTGTCACCATTGACAATCAAGTTTATATAAAAGCAGACGATTAAGCACCATACAATTCGCGTGGTGAACTTAGGGCGTAGGTGTGACTGAGGGGGTGTGGCTGTAGGTGAAAAGAAGATCTACACCCACACCTTCAACCCAATAGGTACTCAGAAAGAGGCACAGAAGTTACAGATAACCAAATGGTAAAATCGATACGACAATTGTTGACATGTTAATACATGTGAACAATGGAATCTGTTAGAAAGTTTGAATATTTGTGTTTCAAATCTACATATATTAATTTTCTTGTTCATTTAACTTATCTCGAGGATTTCCTATAATAAACATCAAAAATAATTCTCTGTACTGAACAGTTACTTGACAAATAAATATAAACGTACTGCGAGTCTAGTACTAAGTATGTGATAAACAGTCATTTATAGGTGAAATTAATAATAAAAACCTATCATTATGACTTGTGGTGCAATCTCAAATGGTTACAACAGACGAGTGATTATTTATTTAATGCGTCACATGAGTCTAACAAGTAAACTTAAATATTCAAAACATGTCTTAGCTCTTTTCTAGCGAATCAAAATCAATCTACTCTTGACACTAATACTTAATTTCTTTAGTATCTGTCTCTGCTGTTCAAGCTCGTGTTTGGCTTGATAAATGAATTCATTGCAATTCAAATCATCCACTGACGGCAATCTATAATCTACTTTTCCTTTTTCGCCTCTACTTCGAGACATACTATATCAATTCAACAATTTAGAGAAGCTCTCCAGCTAATTGTTACAAAACGTGGATCACTTCGAATATCACTCATCTTCAGTACAGAAAAGAACGAATTTATGAAACGAACCATTGATATCAACGATAATAATAATATCTTATTTGAATTTGTTGAAAGCACTTTCGAAACAAATGAATAACTCAATAACATTATGCATGATGAAAAACGAAACTATCAACTGTTCGATCTTGATCAAGGCCTTATCTTTCGATGTCATGTTCTTCACTAAACACCAATCTTTTCAAATGACGTTCTTTGTGACAAAGATGCAATTGTTTTTAATTTCTACTATGTTTTGTTCGATTTTTCATTGGTGAATGTATTTCTTTATAATCTCGATCAAGCTTATACAGCAGGTGAAGTATCTAGAAATGACGGCACTGTTCTGTGTTATCTTGATTGTGAGTAGAAATATTTCTTGTGTTATATTCGAAGCACTCCTTCTCTGCTCTTATCTAGATGTTGCTATTGAACAACAAATGCCAATGACTGTTGAAAATATGTTTTGGTTTGATACTCTTCATGACTATAAGCTGGATCGAGCTCTGCCGTTGTCATTTGATCGATATCGACTTTCTAATGAGCATCGAACTGGTCGTGAAGAATCTGTCTGTTTCGATTTTGGCGAAGATCTTTCGAATGCTTTTGTCGCTTAATCATCATCAAATAGTACAACAGTAGTGTGAGTGTTTCTGGAGAGAAGAACAACAACCGAACCCACACTCACACCCTTCTCTACTATTATAGTGCATCATGTGGCCGGCGTCTCATACAATCTATATAACTGTTTCAAGCAAGTTTGTACCCTTTAATAATGTGAAAACAAATTTGAAAAAAAATAAATTCACTTCAATTTTTATGGCTGACTGTAGGTTTTTGTTTAATGCAATATCTCAATAAAAAGCATAATCTTGTGTTTTAACTACATTTTTTTTATAGGAGAATGGGCAAAGTGATTGTTGTGTTGAAAATATAAAAGATCTAATTTCTGTTTATTCTGCATTTTCTAGTCTGATTTAATCACATTTCAGACGAGTGTTAGTGCACGTGTGTGTGTGTGAAGTTGATGGACTAGCATGAAGAGGAGATGCACCCACGTCTACATCTTGACTTTGCAATTCCAGAAAGTGAGGAACTCGAATTCTGTTAGTCTTATATCCTCAGGAATAATAATTAATACTTGAGAGACCATATAAAGGTGGAAAAGCAGATTCTTGATGTTAGGATTCGAGAGCAGATGGGATCTACAATGGTGACGGTGTACCATCGGTACGCCAAAACATGCATGTAACCAATTATATTTACCACGGTATTTCTTTATTATTCTACTTCTACTCAATCATACGCTTGTGCGTATTCTTCGATAGAATTTACTTCACGAAATATAACTGAAAGAGCAAATTCGAAAAAAGATCTGAGTAGTTCCACGAAGATTCATGAATAAATCTGATTGGTTGAAGAACTATCATCCGACAAGACAATGAATTACACGACTAGTGAAGTATACTAGTGGTGTGGCGTCACAGTTGAATTTCTCATCTATTCTAGTATCGTAGGGTTCAGAATCTTTTTTTTTTTCATTCATCTGGACTCTCGAGTATTAATTCTCTGGCTGATGATTTTGACCTCGGGAAAGACGCGAACTGCGCTGCAGAATGTCGAAGAAATAGAGAAAAATCATCATATCAGACCGTAAAACATAGGTAATCAATGGAGCAAGGAAACACTATTCCGAGTCAAAGTCTCCGGATTTCTCCAGTGGCTTCTGCTAGTGTCCAATTTGAAATACCATGAAGTTGACTTCAAGTCACAGGAAATATCAGGAGACTTTTCAGCTCAAAATACTAATTCCACCTTTCGTCGATCCCCAGGTTTTTCTGCTGCAACCAGCTCTCACGTATTCACCTGGGTTACTATTGCTCTAGCTATGTGATCAACAGACTCGGGGATTTCGATGCCTGGAAATACATAGTGGCTTGCTACAAAATGAGAGAATAGGCATGTCTAAAAATCTCAGCATCTTCAAAAACATGTGAAAACAAGTTCTCGAGTGGGTTCCCGTTCCGTTGGAACGGAATCCCAAGAAATCGTAACCCTGATACTTCTACATCCGAATTATACTTAATTCCAACAATTGATTCTGAAGTGTGAGCTAATATGAATAAATCTTGAGAATTTTATCCATTACCTGAAAGTAAAAGTAATTATTTCCTTATAGTGCTAGTACAGAGAACAATCAAAATGAAGATTCAATAAAGCTTGAGATGGATTATTTTACGCTACAGAATGGAGCATTCCTTAAGGTCTGGATGAGGACCATTGGATACCATTTTGTTCATTCCCTATGTCGAAGTAACTACCAGCTGGAATTGATTCATGTCAAAATTTCATGGATACTTGTGGCAGCGTTTATGCCAACAGGGCAAATAATAAATTATTATTGCAAGTGTGTCATTTCAAACGTGAATATCATAAAAGATATTTAGTGCATTGCTATTGACAAGACTCATTGGCATTTCTAAAGTGTAACAGAAGTTTTCAGTGCAACGACATGAACTCAGTTTTATTTTTCGATTTTTTTTATATATGGTTTATAAAGGCAACTAGAACAAATCCGACATGCCTATTGAGAACAGTTGATGTCCGAAACCATTATATTGAACTTTAAGACATTCGAATCAATGAGCGCGATAGTATTGTAACTGATAATTGATGTCGGCAACAATCCACTGAGATCGATCTATAATCTTATTGTCGGCAGGAGATCAACATTTTTGAAGAGTTCGAATAGAAGTTGCCATTGATTGTCGAATAAGTACAGAAATTTTTTCTGCAACGTGTAAGTATTGAAAGTCATTTTCCAAACAGACGAGAAGTTTTATTTATGATTGAAAGCTAATTTCATATTGTCGACATTTTAGACGATGAGATGCAAAATTTAAAATGAATCAAAGTGGAATTACTTAATGTAACATTTAAAATATCAGCAGAACATGATAATATTTTAACACTGAGTATTTTAATGACGAAAGATAGAAATTATTGCCATGAATTCATTGATAGAACCACTCATAATACGAGGTTATCGAAGTCTCGTTTTCATGATAAGTTATTCTCGATAATTGAGAGGCTTTTCAAATATATCGTAATGATTCAAATGCAAAAGAATATAACAATGACTGGCAATTTATCGATTTGACATCTGTCGAACAATGATGAACCGTAGCAATGAGAGCTCTAATTCATTTTAAACTCTAGAACAAGTCTTATCTAGTTATCTACTAGTGGTTGCTTATCTTGTACTTGATTGTCAGCTATACCTGCAACTTCTTCTATTTTTACTTAAATATTCAGTTTTTCTTGTGTTATTTTAACACATTTCAATAAACTTAGTCTTGAGTTATCCAAGTGGTCTGCATTATATCATTTATGCAGATGACATCCAGACATCGACTACTCTTAATTGATTCAAATTTTTTTTCCATCAAGATTTCTGGTCTATTTCATGTGTGATGATAAATCTGTTAGGAGCATTAAATTGATGTCATCTGGTAATACAAAAAAAAAGAACAAAATTTTAAATTATGACAGAAAAAAAAACTGAAAAGAAAGTTCGTTGAGATTTCATGTTCTAGATGCAATATATTTCTCGACTAAGATTAAGAGTTTACAAGAACAAAAATCGGTGAAGAATATATAAACAAAGATTTGTATTGAATGTGTAAATATTCATTGCTCTTTGCATGGACAGATTTTTCATTTCTTTCTCAAGAAACCATATGAAAATTTTCAGCCTTTCTATAATAATCACAATATCTGAACATGAGAGTATTGACCAATCATCGTTGTAATGAAAACAGTTATGTGTGCCTTATTACGCATGTTAATCTAATTAGTGAAAATCAAACTTCAATATTTAGATTTGAAATTGTATGGCATCAGTTCTGTTTTTTCTTCTTCTTAACGGCAACTAGTAGACCCTTTTTTATGAATATTAGACGATGGTCATGTTGATTTAACATCTGTTTATGTTTGCTTATTCTTCTTTCTAAATTGTGCTTCAATCACATCACCAACAGACGCATACTGTTGCTGTCGACACACTCGAACTCAAACAAAACAAATCGAATTGATTGGAGAAAAAAACTGCACCTACTCATTTTTCTTCTTTTCTTCTTTTTGTATCAGTTGATTCCTACTTTTTTTTTCTATATTGTTTAAGAAAGTACAAGGAAAACATGGCAAATAATTTGAAAAAAGATCATTTAAAAAATTTGGATCCACAACAAATAAATGGGAAACCGATGATGCATATGAGTCATGATGATTACGATGATGATCAAGATATTTACATATCAGAACGATCATCTATTGCATCATCAAATGATATGAATCAAGTATCTAGTTCAATTGTTAAAAGATTACCAACACCAACGCCGACACCATCTTCACTATTGTCGTTAGCACAAAAGCAACCTCACAATCTTCGATATCATGGTAATGAATTACAAGAAAATGGACTGCCAACTGCTATTCAATGCCAACTTGCACGGAAAGAAGAGAGAAAAAAGAAAAAAACCTTTCATAAAGCTACACTTGATCAAGGAACTTTGGCTCCATTATCTGAAATAAAATCACAAGAATTAACTGATAATTATTATCCATATTGGGGTTATTATAAATTAAAAAATCCTGATCGGATTACTCATCATCGTCAAATAGTCGATGGTCAAATAATACCAAATGAATCACTTGATCCTTCACAACATGTTCATCAGCCTGCATTAACAACATCATCTATAAAACCAAAACAACAACCACGAAAATCTCGTCAAAATGGTGTATCTATGATTCGATCCAATCAAGATAAACAACGTTATGATCATAGTGAAAAAAATTCGCCAACATCATCATATTTAACATTTCATGATATTCATGATAGTAATTATCAACAACAACATGTACCTTTCGAAAATTCTGACCATGACGACTATAGAGAACAACCAACAAAACATACAATATCGCAACAACGTCGTAAATTAAAAACTGAAAATGATTCAACTGATCATTATGTGCAATTACGTACAAGTAAATCACCTCAAAATTCAAATAGTTTAATAATAACATCGAATTCATTGACAAATCGATCAAAAAATCGTTCAAAAATACCAGAAAAAAATTCTTTAACTTCTGATATTGAAGAAAACAATAAACATCGTCATTCTAAACATTATCATCATCATCAAGATCATACTCAATCACATAATTCTCCTTCGATTCCTTCTCAACAAAATCATCATCATCATCAAAATCTGCATATTCGACGTCGTCCGCCATCCGGTTCAAATCATGGTATTGATTTGCAAATTATTGATACGCCAATTAAAAAATCCGAACGACCATCTTATTTTCAGCAAGGACGAGAATCATTTCATTTACCAACAACACCTATTTTTAATCAAAATTCTTATTTACCACCCATCATACGTGACCATCATCATCATCAAAAAACAAATACAACTCGTTTTCCAACTGAATATTATGGTACATTAGCTCGACAAGCACATGGTAAAGATTGGGAAGAACCAATAGAAATTACAAAAATTTATAAATCTGATCCACAAACACGATTCTATGATCGTTATTTAAATAATGTTGTAGACAAAAGACTAGCAGCTTGATCATTGAATCTGTCAAAACATTTTATTAAATTTCAAATGTATTTTTTTTAATAGAAAAAAAAAAAACACAAAAAAAAAGCGAAAACTTATATTCTAAAAACAGAATGGTTTCAATGATTAACCACAAAAAAGAAACTTGAATTCTACGAGGTGTATTGTTTCCAAAAATAAGAATCTAAATAGTTTTCGATTAGAAGGGATCAATGTTTGCTTTTAAATGTATATATCCAGAAGGTAAAAGCTTGCATTGTATTTTACAGCTACAACCACTTGAATTTCAAAGTTGCTAAAAGCATAACGGTACTCTTTCAATTTTTCACAAGTGGTGTCAATCGACACGATGACACGTGCTTAAAGCTCAAAAAAAAGTCTATTTTTAAACGGATTTTTCTCATGAAACTAAAGATTAAATTTAAATAAACATTCAAAAACAGAAATTTTGTGTGCTGTTATCATATCTAGTAACAGTAGTTAAAATAGCAGTTAGTTTCACTTGTTTTAAAGTCTTAATAAAGAATGATACAAAAGTTCCTGGACTAATGCTGCTTCATTTTACATTAGCTAAGGCATCGTTTGGAAGAATCAAGAACAACTCTTTCGAATCTGCGTTGAAAACTCTTTTTAACAATATTTTCAAAAACGTTCTATTTTGTGTTGTTTTATAATTTAATCACATTATGGCATTATTTCAGATAGCATTGACAAAGAGAATTAAAAGTGGGACTCTAGCTATCTTTTACATTGACGTTTGTATTCATCCTTTCTGTAGATCAACGACACGAAAACTATTATGTATTTATATTGAACAGTATGCCGAATTTCTCATAGCTATTATTTCATTTGTTTTCATAAAATAGTGCTATTACATGTTCTAAAAATTTGTATTGATCCGCCAGTATTTTCATATCCATATTTGATGTATCTTTTTTTTTTTTTCATCGTGTTGTTAACTAAAACAATCGTATATTATTTTCTACTAGGTTTGTAAGAATTAAACGGTGAGACACATGAAAAAAGATCAACAAAAGAATCGAATACATATGAAATAATTCAAAAATATTGAGAATTAGTTTCTTCTGTTGTGGCTATTTCAAATCGTTTTTACAGAATACATTTTAGTGTCGTTCAAAGAGACATGTCGACTACTCGAAAACGTCACCGGATAGAATTTTTTTGAAGACACAACAAGAAAAAACTTTCAATGTAGATTCTAAATAGATATTCTGAATTTTTTCTGGAACATTTGCATCATCAGTTCATATATCATAAATCGGTTCCATCTAGAACAAATGTTAACCTTGTCAAACGAAATAGAGAATCTTGCTTTAGTCTTTAGAAATATGATTTAATATTTAAAATAGGATGAAAGGACACAGTACGAATAGAATTCTAAATTTTCAGTTTTTAAGGTAATCCTGAAAAAAGCCAATTTTTGTGTCAGAAAAATTCAAATTCATATAAATGCATTGATGAATTCCGTCACCTTCTACTTGAAAAATTTGTTTTTTTTTCAGAGAAAATAATAAATCTTTTTCTTCTTTTTGATTGCGCAACCTAGAATTCTCTATGAACCTTCATTCTCTATACATAGGATAGTCAAACAGTTTTGACAACGACTGTCTAAAATTCCGTTAATTCCGTTCTCACAGTTTTTGTTCCTCGCAACTTGAATTATTCTAGTAGCGGCGTCTGTTATGTATTAAACTACCAATATAAATTTTCACAAGTGCCTATTTAGGGCAAATTCTAAGTAGATATTTTAGTCACCTCTGTTTTCAGATGAAAAACAATGCATACTTTTATATATAACAACTCAGTTGTTATTAAGATTAATTGCTACACAAATTCATGATGAATGAACTGTTCGGAAGATGAGCCTCGAAGTGATCGTCCATAACTGCAATTACTCAGCATCAAATTGATGTTATGTAAAAAAACCGGCGCTCGTTGAAGGTCATATATATAGATGCAGTAAGAAGAAGGATTACATTTGACTTTTTTTTGTCGATCATATTGAATATATTTAAGCCTAGAAATAAATCGACAACAGCTGAATACATGCTGAAATATAATTAAGTGTTGATAATCCATTATATTGCACATGGATAGCAATTGAATGATGGTTAGTTGATCAATGACATATCTATCAACAAGAGTAGAGTTTATATCAAGTTTTATATTGAGGATAAGTTTGAAAATAAATGCTTATCAAAAAGAATGAAAGTATATTGATATTTTGCACGTTAAATATCAAAGTAATCTTTCAAGATAAATCATTTTGATTCATGCAATAAATTCATTCTATCTCTATTTATTCGATTTGAATTATATTACTAACATTGATTAAATGTATATATT